ATAAGCTCAGATTTGGAAAGTCTACAGAACTAGAAAGAAGTGGAACCTTGGTTTAAAAATAGCTCTAATTCTAAATCTAGTGCTCTGCTCTGATGGGCAAATCTCATCCTACTCAAAGAAATAGTTACTGTAAGCTGGAAGAGCCTTTCTCCACCCAGAACATCAAAACAAACCTTTCCTTTACACACATTAACAGTGAAGAGTGAACTGTTTTCTGTATTATTTTAAAGCAATTATAAAGTTGTTGTTCTTTTAGATGCCATTGAGTTGGCTCTGACTCATAGAGATCTTATGTATAACAGAATAAAACATGGCCATGTCCTGTGCCATCCTCACAACAGTGGGTATGTTTGAGACTATTATTGCAGCCACTGTGTCAATCCATCTCGTTGAATGTCTTCCTCTTTTTTGCTGACCCTCTACTTTACCAAGAATAATGTCCTTCTCCAGGGCTGGTCACTGCTGATAACATGTCCAAAGAACTTAAGACGTAGTCTTGCCATCCTCACTTCTAAGGAGCATCCTGGTTGTACTTCCTCCAAGACAAATTTGTTTGTTCTTTTAGCAGTCCATGCTATATTTAATATTCTTCACCAACAACATAATTCAAAAGCATCAATTCTTCTGCGGTCTTCCTTTTTCATTGTCCAGCTTTTGAATGCATATGAGGTAACTGAAAATACCACAGCTTGGTCAGGTGCTCCTTAGTCCTCAGACTGACATCTTTGCTTTTTAACACTTTAAAGAGGTCTTTTGCAGCAGATTTTCCGAATGCAATACGTAGTTTGATTTCTTGATAGACACTTCCGTGGCATTCATTGTGAATTTCTTGACAGCCACTTCCATGGGCATTCATTGTGGATCTAAGTAAAATAAAATCCTTGATAACTTCAATATTTTCTCCATTTATCATAATGTTGTTTACTGGTCCAGTTGTGAGGATTTTTGTTTTCTTTATATTGGGGTGTAATCCATACTGAAGGCTGTAATCATTGATCTTCATCAGTAAGTGCCTCAGGTTATCTTCACTTTCAGCAAGCAAGGCTGTGTCATCTGCATATTGCAGGTTATTAATGAGCCTTCCTCCAGTCCTGATACCGCATTCTTCTTCATCTAGTTCAGCTTCTTCGATTATTTGCTTAGAATACAGATTGAATAAATATAGTGAAAAGATACAACCCTGACACACACATTTTCTGATTTCAAGCCATATAGTGTACCTCCTGATCTATGTACACGTTCCTCATGAGCACAATAAAGTGTTCTGGAGTTCTGGTCTTTGCAATGTTATCCCAAATTTGTTTATTTGTAAAGTTGTTAAATAACCAAATTTGGGATTATTACTTTTCTTGGAAGTTAGATGATTTTTCCTGTTTCCAGCTCAGTTGAGAAACACAAGAGACTAGGGTCGCAGGACCAGCTAAAACTGGCAAAAACCAGATCTGGCCCACTTGACATGCACAGTACCAGCAATTGTGTCCTTTAAATGACCTATTGATGTCAGATGCTGAAAAACACACCCGCATCTATGCCCTGGATGTGGGCAAAATTTATCTTTGTGGCCCGCCTTTCAGACTGCGCAGGCTTGGAAGACTGGAGTGCCCTGGGAACGCCTTTTCGGGTCAAGACAATCAGCAAGCTAACCTCACCTTAAGGCGTTCCCAAAGACCCCAGACCCAATTTGCTTTACCCATATAAATCCCCTGAGCCGTCGTTTGGGGAGCCACCTTGGCAACACGAGTCCCATTGTGCTCCTTTACTTGGCCAACTAAATAAAGCTTCTTCTTTTGCTTTCAACCACTTCGTGCCTCTATAATCACCCTGAGTGAGACCTGGACCAGTCCAGTTACACACTGGTTGTAAATTTTATATTTTTTGGGGAAATGTGTCAATATTACAATATTAAAAACTAAGGCAACCCACAAAAAAAAGTGAGACTCTTAGTAACTCTACCTCTGTTCTTATGTTACTTTTTAAAAGTTGAAGCTTCCTTGTATGTATTATTTTAGAAGGAAGACAAGACTCTATAAAACCCCTACTGCGTTATTGAGTAAATGAATGAATGGAAGGTTTTATTTATGAAAGCAGTAACCATTTGTTTACTATGTGCTTTGACGGACATGAAAGAATCCCTCAGTAATAGCCTGTGGCTGAATTCCATAACTCTATTATTCAAATTGCATTCTTCTTCGGTAGGGGATTTTTCTATATAAAGTCTATGGGTACCTTTGAGATAGATGATTATTCAGACTTTCTGTTATTAATAGTTTAAGAGGTCAAAATTTAAATTCTTTTGCCCAAAAACTCAATATGTTTATTGTTTATCATTGACACAATTGGTTTATCAAATTATTGGAATAATTTAACATTTCAAAGAGGGGGAAAAGACTTAATATTGAGCATATACTATGGGCTAAGACTATTACAAGGAGACCTGGTGGTGCAATGGTTAAGTGCTCAGCTGCTAACCCACCCAGAGGCTCCACGGGAGAAAAGACCTGGGGATCTGCTCCTGGGCAGTTCTACTCTGTCATATAGGGTTACTATGAGTTGGAATCGACTGGATAGCATACAACAACAACAGGACTATTACAAATATTATTTTATTTAACCGTTGCAACAATGTTTGTGAGTTAAGCCTTATTGATATTATTGAGGATGAAGAACTAAGACTTACATGTTGGTTCTTTTCCAAGTCATAAAGCTAACAAATAGCAAAACTGGAAAGAAAAGAGAGAATAGCAATAGGGCAGTCAGACAGCAGTATGTGGGCCCTAGATGTGAGATGTGGGGGGTTTCAAAAAAAGGACAAATACCTCTGGAATGAGGGCATCATTGACTAGTTGCTATTTTACCATCTAAAAAAGATTTCCTGTGGAAACACTCCCTACCAATCTTTGGAGGACTATTTTGTTAAAGAAACTTGAAAGACTGTTATAGCATAAGAACACATTATCACCTGTTTTTGTAAAAAACCAAAACCAAAAAAAGTATAAATTCACTTTTGCTGAACAACATATTTAAATGTCATTGCATTTTTAAAACATTTATTTCTGAAATAAGTTCGTCAAGAGTAATGAAATCTATGTATCTCATGGATGTCATTGTGCTATTTAAAAAAGTACATATATATATGTAGACAGAGCCCTGGTGGTGCAGCCGTTAAGAGCTTGGCTACTAACCAAACGGTGGGCAGTTGGAATGTACCAGCTGCTCCTTGGAAACCCTATAGGGCAGTTTTACTCTGTTCTATAGGGTCGCTATGAGTCGGAACCGACTGGCGACGAGTTTTTCACATATATATGTTGTTATGTGCCAACGGGTAGGTTCCGACTCATAGCGACCCTACTCTACCGCAATGGGATATATATATGTGTGTGTGTTTTGTGCCGGCGAGTCGATTCCGACTCATCGCGACCTTATAGGACAGAGTGGAACTGCCTCATAGCGTTTCCAAGGAGCGGCTGGTGGATTGGAACTGCCCACCTTTTGGTTAGCAGTCAAGCTCTTAACTTTGTTAGGGAAGAGGTTATCAGCTGGCAGACCCTTAAAATCCAGGAGTCGTTGTTGTTAGGTGCCCTTGAGTTGGTTGATTCCGATTCATGGTGACTCTATGTACCACTGAACGAAACACTGCTAGGTCCTGCGCCACGTTCACAATCGTTATTCTTGAGCTCATTGTCGCAGCCGCTGTGTCAATCCATCTCGTTGAGGGTCTTCCTCTTTTTCGCTGACCCTGTACTTTACCAGGCATGATGTTCTTCTCCAGGGACTGATCTCTCCTGACAACATGTCCAAAGTATGTGAGACGTAGTCTTGCCATCCTTGCTTCTAAGGAGCATTCTGGTTGTACTTCTCCCAAAACAGATTTGTTCGTTCTTTTGGCAGTCGATGGTATATTCAATATTCTTCGCCAACACCATAGTTCAAAGCCGTCAATTCTTCTTCGGTCTTCCTTATTCACTGTCCAGCTTTCGCATGCATATGATGCGATTGAAAATACCATGGCTTGGGTCAGGCGCACCTTAGTCTTCAAGGTGACATCTTTGCTTGTCAACACTTTAAAGAGGTTTTTTGCAGCAGATTTGCCCAATGCAATGCATCTTTTGATTTCTTGACTGCTGCTTCCATGGGTGTTGATTGTGGATCCAAGTAAAATGAAATCCTTGACAACGTTAATCTTTTCTCCGTTTATCAAAATCCAGGAGTAGGAGCTTTATTTAATGAGACTAGATCACAGTATCCTGCGAGTCATATATTCGAAACCAATTATAAACTTTTGGAGATTATAAAAGTAAAGGCCGGGGCCCCGAGGGATCCATGGTTTGGCTCTCGGCTTAGCCAGACTGGGGGCCAGTAAGGGGCTCGTGAATAGGCGATCTGCCTCGGGGCTGCCCGTGGAAGGTGAGCACTGGAGTCCCGGATGCCTCGCGGAGAAGCAGTAGCCCGCAGGTCAGGCGGGAAGGTGGGGCCCTTGACACTCAACGGGGCGGTGGGGGCGGGACCTGGCTATCGGGGCGGTGCTTGGCTTTGGACACCTCTGGGTTGGGCAGGGTACTGGTGCCGAGAGTTGTTAGACCGCCGGCCCGGCGGCTCGCCAACGCTCGGCTCCTCAGCCGCGTTTCCAGTCAGAAGGTGGGCGCGGCCTGAGGCGCGCTCTGGAGAGAGCCCGGGGGTCCCGGTCCAGCTCCAGTGCGACTGGGCAGGCGGCGCGCCCGCCCGCAGAACTTTTGTGTTTTGATGGCTCCTTGGAGCCCCTCGCATTTGTTTTCCGGTGTGTTTGGCTTCCTGAGCGAGAGCTGGTGGGCCTGCGCATCTATTTAAGCCACTTCCTTTTACAGCGGTGGGAACCAAGATCCGGGGTGAAGTGACTGGTCCAAGCCCTCTGGTCTTGAAGGCTTCTGCCTTGCCGGTAGGAGCCTGCAGTGGGCTTGCCTGGATTTAGGATATTCCATTGGAAGTCTACAGGGATATATTTGCTTTAGCTTTGATTCGGTTCTGGGCTGGAGCCTCTGGACCCCTTCAGTGCCCGGGGAGGTGGTGAAGATCAGGGGCCTCAGCAGTATGGTCCCCTCCCTGGCCAAGGCTCAGAGACTCGAAGTAATTTGTTCTCATGTTTATTTCCTTACTTTGTCAAATTCCCCGCAGTCACTTGTGATGATTGATTTTTCTAGTGAATATTGATTTTGGCTTCTTCACCAACGATTTCTAGCAAATCAGTAATTTAATTATACCGAAGTTTCTGCACTTTTGAAATGAATATATTTCTTAGAGTACAAACTGTAAGGAACAACTAGTAGATCTGAAAGTATTATACAATAAGTAAGAATTATAAACGATAAGAAAATGCTAAATTGTCCCGAAGATAATTAGATAAGGTTCAGGTCACATCCACAGGCAACAAATCGTGTGGTCACAAAAATAGTTTAATTTTAAAGTGATTTGTTATAGCAGAAGCAAACATTCTTAAAAAATAAAAATATTTGGGACAATATTATTTATTGTTTTGCAGTATAATTTTATACCACATGCTGAAATTGAAAACTTGTAATAAGTAAAGTGGAAATTTATTCAGAAAATCTTAACCTAAATGTAAAACTTTAATTAAAAATCTTGGCACTTCCTAACATCACAAACTCATACTGAAGTTGGGCAGGCTCCCTTCTAGGGCCTATGTGTTTTTTTAAAAAGATCTGTTTACACAATGAAAGTGCCGAATTCATCGTTTTTTAGAACCTTCATCATTTGATTACATGAATCATGAACTAGAAAGAAAGTCACATTTTTAAACTGAACATAAAAGGTTTTGGGGGTAAAATTTTAAGTTCCGAAATTATTTTTATAAATTAATCATTGCTAATGCAGTTATTCCACAGTGAATTATTATGGATTATCTACTATTGTGCCTGGCCCTGTTCTGGGTTATTGGAATACAGTAGTGAACAAAAAAGTTCCTGCTCCTCGCTCTAGAGGGAGAAAGATAATAAACAACTAAATATGTAATGCCAGTTATCAAGTAGTGCTATGAAGAATAATAATGCAGAATAAGAGGATGGAGAATTTTATATAGGGGGTGTGTTTTTTTTTTTTTAATATTAGCATGAGAACTAACATATACACATAAAGTTTTTATTTTGAGCCAAAACAAGTCAGACCCTTAATGCTAACACTAGAAATTGAACCAAAAGTTCTTTTGAAAATATTTGCTGTTTATATAGGGAGCTTTTCACCAAACAATTTTTTTCTGAAACAAATATTTTTAATTTACAGTTTCATCATCTTGTTTTCAGTTTCCTTTAGAATAAAGAATTCAAGCACATAAATACTAGCCTCGGAGTTAAAAGATTTTCTACTTAAATTCTGAGGTAGCAAAAGCCATATGAACTTGATCTGATGAGTTTCAATTTAGAAAAAGTTTTTAGTTGTTTGAAAATATATACTGCTTCTAAGATTAGAAAGACGAGATTATTTTTTGGATAATGTAAAGCCATGATTAGCATCTTCATTTAATTGTTAATTGTTCATTTTTTCAAGTTCTGAAATTGTTTACTTGAAGATGATGTTAAAGATTCCATTAACATAAGATCTGTGAATGATCTCCTTCTCCCCTATTATTCTAGGCTTCTGTTGTTCATATAGTTAAATTGTTTTAGGCATTTATAGAGCCACACATTTTGTTTTATTTTTCCTATTTATTTTTGCTGTTGACTGAGTGATTAATGTATGGAGAAAAATGATGAGGGCAGTTAAGTTAAACAGATGGAAGGGGGAAAACCCAATAACTAAAACAATGAAAACAATCCACAATATTCTGAATCAGTAAAAAGAGTCCTGAAGTATGCACAGGTTTAACCCTCTTACCAGTTTCATTTTATCAAGGAGCGCACGATGAAACATTCCTCCCCGCCCCCAGAGAAGTGGAGAGAGTATCAGGTCAGCTATGAGTCGGAATTGACAGGAAGGCACCTAACAATCTGAGTTGGTAATGTGAATTTCTCCACGAGATGGCGCTCATAGTTTCTTTGATTTTAGTTTCTATCCTGAGGAACGATTTACTATGTGTTAAGGATCACAGAATAAATAGAAATGTGATTTATATTTTATGATTTGTGTATCTGATTTCATGTTTTCCATATAGCATATTCTATCATGTTTCAGAATTTAGAAAAAAATTGGAATCTAATATTGATGTACAGGGAAAGTAATTGCAGTATGAAGGAAGCAATGTGTCTGTCGAAACGGTGCTACTGTCTCCTATCACATAAAAGTCTTTGTCCAGCCTTACATTTTTACCATATTCTTAGGTGGCCAGAGCTGAATGTTTTTATCCTTTATGTTCATGTAACATTTCTTAATGTAAAAATTATCTTTTAAAAGGAGTGTGTGTGTGTGTGTGTGTGTGTGTGTGTGTGTATGTGTGTGTTAAACTTGTAAATTTTTCATTTGGGAAAAGTTGAAACATATACAATAAGTAGACTGTATAATGAACCCCATGTACCTATCACTTAGCTTTAGCAATCAACAACTCATTGCCAGTCTTGTTTCATATATACTCCTCTACCTCTCCCCTCCTTTATTTTGAAGCAAATCCCTGATAGTATATCATTTCATCTATATTTATTTCAGCATGTATCTTTAAAAGAAAAGAGCTCATTTGAGAGACATAACCATAGTTATCATACCAAAAAAGATGAACAATTATTTCTATTATCAGATATTCTTTAAAGATATATATTTATTTATTATCAACTATAAATGTATGTTTTTTATTATTCACTGAATTAAAGATAAGTAGGCAGTAGTAAAAAAAACATATACCTGGTAAATTTCATAATTAGTAAGATGAAGATTTGTTGGTCATTACTGTAATATAGTAAATGATTAAAATTGTGTTATTTAGGCTTCAGGGATTAAGAACATTTATATTGCTTATCCAAATAATTTTACTTTGCCAGGTAACTGCCAACCTTCCACTACACCTTCAGTTATTTTTCACTGATTTAGGTATGTTAAATACTGACAAAAACATCAGTAACCTAATACGAGGATATTAAGAAATAATAAAAAAAGAACCATAGACTACATATGAAACTTAAATATAGTAGGGGAAATCTGTAAATGATTCAGCGTAGTTTTTAGATATTTGAACCTTGAGAAGATACGTTATTCACTAACTTCCAGTCTTCAATAACATGTCTTCAGTCACACATATTAAAAGTTAAAAATTTCAAACATTTATATTTAGTTTTCCTCTCATTCTCTATTTATTGAACTATAGTTCTAAGAAATAAGAATGAAGTTTTCAATAAATGGGCTGTGATATATGGCAGAAAGCAAAACTATCCACTGGGATTCAGAAATCAGAGGATGGTCATTGTCTAAGGAAAGAATATATCAAAACAATGTCTGTGGAAAGAATTAAAAAAAAAAATGTATAGAACCTAGAACTATCCCCAAAGCAAGAAATCAGTTTGCAACCTAGAATCCTATTCTACCTATAAACAAAAAAGCTACTTTTAAAAAAATTACTGGAGTCAAGATTATGTCAAAGCCTGCCAGATTTAAACCTTTCTTACATTTAGCAAATTTTTACGAGAATTTACCATTTGTCAGATACTGTGCTAGTGTTTGAGTAGGCTTTTATTTTACAAGCATTGTAGCTAAGGCAGTAATAATACAAGGAAAAGAAAAGATCAGTCAGAAGGACTCTGCCGGTCTACGCATGCACTGCCATCGAGTCTATTCCGACTCAGCGACTCTATAGGACAGAAAAGGACTAGCCCATAGGGTTTCCAAGACTGTAAATCTTTATGGAAACAGACTGTCACATCTTTCTCCCAGAGCAGCTGGTGGGTTCGAACCACCAACCTTCAGTTAGCAGCCAAGATCCACTTCGACATCAGGGCTCCTTTTGCCAGTCTACTAGGTGATAAAACGAAGGCAAAAGTTAGACCTCCTGTCTATTTAGAGACAAGACAGAAATGAATGGTATATTCTGTGATGATAAAAGATATGCACATTATTCTGTGAGGACATGTCTGGGAGGAGTAATGCACTATGTCCTTGAACAATTAGTGTGAATTTCCTGAAGACAAAGCTAAACATGAGGCTTTTGTCATTTATAAGGCCTTCAATAAAATCTAGAACAGCAGTTTCTAAAGTGTTCCTAGCACTTAGCACAGTACCTGACACATAATAGTTCCTTTATAAGTATTTGTTAATGAATGAAGGAAATGTTCTGACATACGTTGGTCTCCTGGGATGTTTAGGGGAAAACTGGTAATGAGGTAGAGTAGGTTTAGTAAATGCTGGGCTGTATTCTGAATCCCTGTTTTGAGATTCACTATGTACACTATTGTATTAAAAGTCTCGTGTACCAGTAAAAATAAAAATCCTGCTAAACTTCGTTTAACCTAGTGTATCCCAAATTTATTTGACAATGAAAGCCTTTATTTCTTGGAACACCTGTTGACATCCCATGGAAGAATTTTGGGAAGTACTTCTCTCAAGCCATGCAGATTACCTGTTGGAACTACTGGAGGGTCAGCTTGAATTCTGTGGAGACAAAAACATATTAGTACCATCATGAGGAAGAAAGAAAGCAAGCAAAACAGGAAAAACTCTATGGAAAGCTAAATCAATTGGTTCTTCAGAACCTCATTTCATTGGGTTCTAGGATTTGACCATCCGTGTAGCCAGCTACTAAAATGTTACATTCTGAATGTGTGTGTGTATGTAGGGGGGAAGGAACTTGAAGAGAGAAACCAGCAGACAGAGACAACTAGAGACAGATATGCAAATATGTGTGGATTACATCAAAATAAATTTGTTTAATTTGCCGAAGTCAGTATGTGTTTAAATTGGTATACCATGTCCTTCGTTGCCATTGAGTCCATTCCAACTCATGGAGACCCTATAGGACAGAGCAGAACTGCTCCATAGATTTTCCAAGGAGCAGCTGGTGGATTCGACCTGCCGACCTTTGGTTAGCAGCCTGAACTCTTAACCACTGCACCGCTAGGGTTCCGTATACCATGTCAGTTATGTTTATATTAATGTTTAATTCTTTATCTTAACAAGATACTGAAAAATTATACTAAGCATAGAAAGATAAATAAGATATACTTCCTGTGCTGTATGTGTACGTAGTAAATTGTTATTAGAGGTACACACATTCACAATAAAGTGCACCATGGTAGGTTCTATAATAGAGGATGAACAAAGTAGCATCAGAGCCCAAAAGGAATGATTTAATTTTGTTTGGGGGAAAAGGACAAATTCAGAGAAGATTTGAAGAAATCTTCCAAAGTCTTCAAAGCCACTCCTTGGAAACCCTATGGGGCAGTTCTACTGTGTCCTATAGGGTCTCTGTGAATTGGAATGGACTTGATGGCAACAGGGGATATGGTATACCAATTTAAACGTGTATTGACTTCAGCAAATTAAACAAATTTGACCTATAACTTGGAGGACGGGTAGGGATTTACCAGGTGGGGAATAGAAGGAAACACATTTTAAGCATTATTGCAGTATGAGGAGAGGCCTAGAAGTGTGACAATGCATGAATGAGTGGAGAATAGAGAATAATCTGTTTTGAACATTTGGAGACACTTTGGAGGAAGTTGGGAGCCCTGGTGGCACAATGCTTAAGAGCTCGGCTGCTAACCAAAAGGTCAGCAGTTTGAATCCACTAGCAGCTCCTTACAAACTCTAAGGGGCAGTTCTACTCTGTCCTCTAGGGTCACTGTGAGTCAGAATTGGCTCAGTGGCAACTGGTTTTGGAGGAACTTGCAGAAGGTAAAGCTGGAAAGGTAGTCTGTGATTGTATTTTACAAGATATTCTGGGAAAAGAATAATTGTAGTGTATTTATCCAGAAGTATTTTTCTACATCTTTGTAGCTATTAACTGTATTTTCTGTTTTTTGTAGTTTTCAGAGTTTCAATGATGCTGAAATCAAGTGACTGCTTGTTTTCTTTGGACAATTTGTTTTTTGAAAAACGAGATGAAACTGAAAAGTAAGTCTGCGTTAAGTGTAACACAGTACATTGTTTTAGGTTTTTTTTTTTTTTTAAATCTTTAGGGGATTTACTTTCCTTTCTGTAAATAAGTATATAAATAAATGAAGGATCAATAGAATGATGTTTTAGTCATATATTTGGTAAACATGGAGCCCTGGTGGCACAGTGGCTAACAGCTCGGCTGCTAACCAAAAGGCTGGCAGTTCAAATCCACAACCACTCCTTGGAAACCCTGCGGGACAGCTCTACTCTGTCCTGTAGGGTCGCTATGAGTTGGAATCGACTCGATGGCAACAGATTTGGGTTTGGTTTTGGTAAACATGGAATTCAGGTGTAAGGAAGTAACAAAAGTTTAACATTTTAAATATTATTCTAAAAATAGAGTAGAATCTTGCTTATTTGGTTCCCATCTATTTGCATTTCTGGTTTGTTCAAATTATTTTTGGCCAAGGTAAAGACTGGAAGTAATGGTCAAAAAGTAGCTCAGGACAAGGAATGATGGAACATCTTGGAAACAGAATGGGCAGTGTGACCAAAAGCCAAGTGTAATAGGCAAATTCAGTGTAGACAAAAAGTAGGAGTGGAAATAAAGATGTGGGACCAAAGGAAATAATAGAGAATAGGTAGTCTGTAAAATACTGGCTTCTATGGATTTTCACATGTGAATTGCTCTCAATTTAAAATTTTCTATGTATTTGTTCTGTTGTATTATCCTATTTTAATGAAGCATTTAGCAAATTGTATTATTTATTGCTTCATTCATTTATTTTTTCATTCATTCAAATATTAATTCAAATATGATTGAATGCTGAAAGGGATATAAAAAGGATGAAACAGACTTTTATTTCAAAAAAAAACCTTGAAATCTAATTGAAGAGATTAAACATATATATGGAAATGCTATGAATAAATATTAGTATGCCTATGTAGTTCATCATCCAGGCTGGGACGCTTTTGAGAGTGAACAAGTGCATCCAAACTGGGACAACAGGTGTTATTCAGGACTGTCCTGGGCAAATTGGAACATACGGTCATTGTCCTAACAATACAAAGTCAAAAATATGTGCAAAGCAAGTGGTAAGCATGTATTCATGCAATGAAGTTTCAGATTTGGAGAGAAGGTCATTCTGGGCTAGACTGCTAAGGTCAGGCTTTATGGTAGTGGTAGGGGGACTTTGGGGAGTTTTGAAAGTTGTGATAATTCTTATAGCAAAGAGGAAGTGGATACTTTAAGGCAGAGTGTAACAGTGAGAGAAAAGAAATGGAGATGGGACAATTCATGGTACTTTTAGGGGAGGGTGTATAGAGAAGTTTTGCTGGAGTAGATTCATAAAAGGGAGACAGTGGGACATAAAGTTAGAAAGGTAAGTTGAGGTAGATTGTGGAGGACTTTAAGTGGCAAGAAGGATCTCAGACATGATTATTTATATGTTAAAAATCCATGAAATTGGATCAGCAAACATTTAATGAATATTATACCTAATTATATAAAGCACTGTATTAGGCACTAGTGATGCAAATGGGAATGAAAGAAATCCTTAGGTGTTTACAAACTAGAGGGAGTATTCTCTTTACCTATTACCTATCTATTATCTGTCTATACACACACACTACTGATACAAGGAAGTCTGTGATAAACATAAGCTCAGACAATCTGTAAGAAGAGGGAAGGGATAAAATCTTTGGGAACCTGGGGAGGTTTCTTGGAGAAGGTAGGATTTGAGCTGGACTTTGAATGAATATAAACTCTAGTGCCTAAAACAGTGCCTGGCACATAGTACTCAGTAAATAATTGTTGAATGAATAAATGCATACATAAAGCAGTAGAGCATCTATAGGTGGATATGGGGGTGGGTGGGCAGAGGGGCAAGCCAAGTAAAGGAAATATCTTTGAGCAAAGATGAGGAGGGACAGAATGTATTATCTATTTGGTATATAAGTAGTTCTGTTTAGCGAGGACTATAAAATACATGTAGAAAAGTTAAAACTGTAAGGCGGCCCAAGGCCATTAGGAAGTTGGCATTATTTGGAAGATTTTGAATAGACGAGTAATATGATGAAAACAATTTCAAATTAATATGGTAGAAACGTGTAAAATATATTAGAAGAGAGAAAGCCTGGAGGCAGTGAAACCAGTTAAGGCACTATTGTTTTCAACCAGACATAAGTTGATTAGAGCTTGGATTAGAATAGTGGCAGTGGAAGTACAAAGGAAATAATGAATTCAAGAAGCATTATAAGGAAGATGAAATAAGATCTTGTGTGTGTCTGGATATATATGGTAAGAAAGATTCTACTATAGTTTGGATTCTGGGTGATTGGGAAAATGATGGGACCACTGAAAACCAAGTGAGAAATCATAAGGAGGAGTTAATTTTATGGGAAGGCTGAATAGTACAGCTAGATATGTGCTTTTTGTATAGTTACCATCTTTCTTGGATTTTCTGCAGTAATCCCTGTGCAGGAAAAAAAAGAAAGTTAACATAGCAGGCCTAAACTGCTATCCTTGAAAAGGCCTGCTTGCAAGATTGGCCCATGCTGGCTTTTGAGATCTTAGATTTCAACAGGATTCCCACCATTAACTGATAAGAGTGGCTCACTGTACCTAAACTATTTGTACAAACAATATGGTTTATGCTGAACTCCTACTTTCCTTCTGGGAATAATGGAATTTGGGTATGTACCAAGCAGAGGATGATACATTATCAACTCCCCAATAAAAGCTCTGAGAACTGAGTCTCTAATAAGCTTCCCTGGTTGGTAACACCTTGCACGTGTTGTTGCAACTTGTTGCTGGAAGAATTAAGTGTATTTTGTGTGGCTCCATTGAGAGAGAACCTTTGGAAGCCTGTGCCTGGTTTCCTGCGGACTTCCCCTAATCTGCCTTTCCCGTTGCTGATTTTGCTTTGTATCCTTTTGCTATAATAAGTCATAGCCATGAGTACAGTTATAGGCTGAGTCCTGTGAGTCCTCCTAGCAAATCATCAAACCCTGGGAGGGGATGGTGTTTGGAGATCCTTCTGACACAGTCTCAAACTTCAGATGCTCTGGCCTATTGTCAGACCATATGGCAGATATTGTCAGATGATGTGTTGTAGATTTTTGATTTGGAAAATATGGTTACAGTAGCTCTGTGCTAGGAGCTATGACAGGAGAAAGACTAAGTCTTTCACTTCACAGAGCTTAAAATCCTAAATGACGAGATAAAAAATAAATTATAAAGTCCTTGGGACTTGGCATAGAAAATGTATATAATGCTTTTCTCAACCTTGTTTTCTACCACCTAACACTTATCTTTTTGGTCTAATGAAGGACAAGTCAACTATGATTGGAAAAGAAACATTTAAACAGTATATGTTAACAAGATCACAGCTAAAAGATAAGGAAATGTAGTTAAAGGCACCAACCAACAGGTGGCAGAATCTCATCTATTACTGAAGATTTATGAAGTGATTTGTCAGTTCATCTGGTCTCTTAGATTTCCTGTGGTTTGTAGATGGTTCTGGACCAAGAATATTTAGGTTTAGGACATTAATTTGTAATAATGCTATAGAATACTCTAGAACACCAGTAATGGTGTCATTTACACATTGGTGACCTGTGATGAGTTGTGAGGTGTGTCATAAGTACTTTGTTACTTGTAGTAGTTGAGATGCTAAGATTTGAGAATGATTTACTACTTTTTTTTCTTTTTTTAAATGGGAGCATATTTAAGATTCCTGTCACTGGCATTTGGATTAGAGAAAAGGAGATAGAGTTATAGCCATTATTTAGGTAATATATCTCACATAACAACATTATTAGTCCTGTGGCACATAAAGAAAAAAGGGTTGAGAATGCTGCCGTACAGGGATAAATCAGAATTAGATAGCAAAAGATAACAGAAAATTCATTTATGGGATGCTTAAGAGTCTGTAATTGAGTAATGTTTAATTAAGAAATACATTATTTCACATGTCTGATATTATATCTTTATTAACTTATATATTCACATTTTTATATTTTATATAGCTCTCCAGACAATGAAAAATCATTGGATTGGTTTCTCCCACCTGCTCCATTGATTTCAGAAATTCCAGATACTCAAGTGCTAGAGGAAGAAATAGAAAGTCATAAACTGTTAGGTAAATTATCATATATTTGTTGTGGAACCAAATCCATGCAGTTCGTGTCAATGTAAAAAATCTGGGAGCACCTGATATTATAAATCCCTTTCATTTTAATGGAATAAAACGAAAGTCAGAGATTTTTCTTGTTCAAAATACGTCTCACTAAATCTTAAAATTTACAACATTTTCCTTCTCCATACATACATGTGTATACATATGCATACATATATGCGCACATACACTCTTACACACCTGTTCTGATCATTGTTTTATGAATTTTTTTCTCTTACTATTTAAACTTGTACCATTGCTATGCAGTTTTTTCTCTGTCCTGTACTAAAGGTAGAATAATCTCGTTTAGGAACCAGATCCCCGAAATATGTTGAATTAAAAAAGCAAGATAGTTTGAGGTCCCTAGGTGACACAATGTATGCACTCAAATACTAACCTAAAGGTTGGCAGTTTACACCCACCCAGTGGTAGCATGGAAGAAAGGCCTGGAGATCTGCTTCCATTGAGATTACAGCCAAGAGTATCCTATGGAGCAGTTCTACTCTGTAGCACATGGTGTCACCATAAGTCAGAATTGGCTTGATGGCAACGGGTTTGATTTTAGTATATATATTTTGACTCCATTTTTATAAAACTCAAAAACAAGCATATCCAAACAATATATGTGATATAAGTGGCAATAATTTAATTCTTAAATTAGGTGGTGGATTCTTGGGTGTACCTTTTATTATTAAACTTCATAATTTATGTATATGTTATATATATAAACATGTAAATATATATTATATACTTATGTATGCTTCAAATAATATATAGCTTATAGCCATATATAGTAAAGCAAATTTAAGCCCTAAAAAGGCCTCCAAACTCCCCCTGAAACCTCCTAAAGATGCTTGTAAAGTCTGTAAAGAAACCATTAAAATTCTGTCACCCTGATGAAAGTGTTTCTAAACTTTTAAACTCAAGATAAAGGAACAAGCATTGTATAATATATTGTAATTCTGAATCATATTCAATAACATTTTATATGATTGGTTATTATATTTCTGTGTGTAAATTATTTATATAAACTTAAAAAGATTTATAATTACTTGTATAATTCTATCATTTGTAGTACATAAGATAGTTAAACATTACAATTATGATCATTTCTGCAGGTCAGGAATTAAACCTATTTTATAAGGTATATTCTATGTAAATTTCTTATTTAATTTCAATAATTCTGAATTAACTTCTCAGCACCCTTCAGTGATGCAACATTTCATAAGAATAACAACCACTTGTATTTCAAAACATTACTTGGTATTACAGATTATCCTGTTATTGTGCTAATAATTTTCTTCTGTCTTTCACATTTAATTAACAAACTTTTTTTGAAACTTAAAAAAAAATTTACACCATCATTTTGAACATTTGTTTTTAATATATTTCTTTTTTATAGGTCAAGAAAAGAGGCCAAAAAAGTTAACATCACATTTAAAGATAACTACTGAAGGCACACGTTATATTTCACCAATGCAAAACCTCCAATTTTCCTTCCCCTCTAGTAAATATGAAGAAGATAATCTAAACGTAGGAGGGGCAGGTAACAGCGATTTACCACATGTTACTGGCAAGCTGACATATGGTTCTTCTCAGAAATACAAAAATCACATTGGCACTGAAGTAGCACCTGAGAAAAATGTCCCTGATGACACAAAATGTATTAACTTTGCAGATGATAAAGGAGAGAGTGCATCAGCATTTGGAAAAAGGTAATTAAATGAAATAAACAATATTCAGTGAATCAAGTGCAAAAGTATGAAATATGGTACAATCTGACTGAGAAAACCAGCAATACCAAATAACAAGTCTACCATGTGCCAGATACTGTACTGGCTCTGAGATTCTAATCATAGGTTCAAGGAGCTTATAATTTAATGAAAAGACAGATAGTAAATAAAAAACTAAAAATAATTGGGTAAATACTTTATAGTAGGGTAAGACAGTACACAGTACTGGGGAAGCCAGCACAACTTGTGCAAGGCAAGGTCATAGAAGCTCCTTAGACACATCCAAATGCCCTGATGGACCGAATTGCTGGGCAGAGGGCTGTGGGGACCATGGTCTTGGGAAACATCTAGCTCAATTGGCATAACATAGTTTATAAAGAAAATGTTCTACATTCTACTTTGGTGAGTAGCATTCTGGGGTCTTAAAAGCTTCCAAGCAGCCATTTAAGATACTCCACTGATGTCACCCCATCTGGAGCAAGGGAGGATGAAGAAAACCAAATACACAATGGAAAGATTAGTCCAAATGACTAATGGACCAGAAGTACTACAGCCTCCACCAGACTGAGTCCAGCACAACTTGATGGTGCCTGGCTACTACCACCGACTGCTCTGACAGGTATCACAATAGAGGTCCCGGACAGAGGAACAGAGGTGGAGAAAAATGTAGAACAAAATTCTAACTCACACACACACACAAAAAGACCAGACTTACTGGTCTGACAGAGACTGGAGAAACAGTGAGAATATGGCCTCCGGATACTCTTTTAGCTCAGTACTGAAATCACTCCTGAGGTTCACCATTCAGCCAGAGATTAGACAGGCCCATAAAACAAAATGAGACTAAATGCGCACACCAGCCCAGGGGCAAGGACAAGAAGGCAGGAGGGGATAGGAAAGCTGGTCATAGGGAACCCAGGGTCAAGAAGGGGAGAGTGTTGACATGTCGTGTGGTTGGCAACCAGTGTCACAAAATAATATGTGTACTAATTATTTAATGAGAAGCTAGTTTGTTATGTAAACCTTCATGTAAAGTACAATAAAATTTTTTTAAAGAAAGTGACAAGGAGGTTGATACATGACAGAGATGAGAAGGGTTACAAGGTGGTATAGCTAGATAGCACAGATACTTTCTTATGAGAGAGTAGAATAGTGATCTAGATTTGGGATGGAGAAGACAGACTCTGAGACTTGAGTACATTGGATGTGATAGAATTAGCAGTTTCCTCTTAAGAGTTTTTTAGAGCAACCGTGGAACAGGGGATATCATTGCTCATGTCAGATGGATCATGGCTAAAAGCAGACAATACCAGAAAGATGTTTAGCTGTGTTTTATTAACTATGCAGAGGCATTTGACTGTATGGATCATAACAAATTATGGATAACATTATGAAGAATGGGAATTCCAGAACACTTAATAGTACTCATAAGGAACCTGTACATAAGATCAGGAGGCAGTCATTTGAACAGAGCAAGGGGATACTTCATGGTTTAAAGTCAGGAACGGTGTACATCAGGATTGTATCCTTTCACCATACTGATTCCGTCTGTATTTTGAGCAAATAATCTGAGAAGCTGGATTATATGAAGAAGAACAGGGCATCAGCATTGCAGGAAGACTAATTAACAACCTGCGATATGCAGATGACACAACCTTACTTGCTGAAAGTGAAGAGGACTTGAAAAACTAATGAAGATCAAAGACCACAGCCTTCAGTATGGATTACACATCAACATAAAGAAAACAAAAATCCTAACAACTGGACCAATAAGCAAAATCATGATAGACAGAGAAAAGGTTGAAGTTGTCAAGGATTTCATTTTACTTGGATCCACAATCAATGCCCATGGAAACAGCAGTCAAGAAATCAAAGGACATATTGCATTGGGAAAATCTGCTGCAAAAGATCTCTTTAAAGTGTTAAAAAAAAGATGTCACTTTAAGGACTAAAGTGCGCCTGACCCAAGCCGTGGTATTTTCAATAGCCTCATTTGCATATGAAAGCTGGACAATGAATAAAGAAGACCGAAGAAGAATTGATGCCTTTGAATTATGGAGTTGGTGTAGAATATTGAATATACCATGAACTGCCAGAAGAATGAACAAATCTGTCTTGGAAGAAGTACAGCCAGAATGCTCCTTAGAAGTGAGGGTGATGAGACTTCATCTCACATACGTTGGACATGTTATGAGGAGGGACCGGTCCCTGGAGAGGGACATCATGAGTGGTAGAGTAGTGGGTCAGTGAAAAAGAGGAAGACCCTCAATGATATGGATTGACACAGTGGCTGCAACAATGCGCTCAAGCATAGCAACGCTTGTTGAGGATGGCACAGAACCCGGCAGTGTTTTGTTCTGATGTACGTGGAGTCGGTATGAGTTGGAACCGACTCGACGGCACCTAACAACAACAACAAACGAGTTTTTTAGAGCAAGAGTTTTCCAGGGCAGTGCCATATTTTTGTGAAGACCAGGAAGTAAATAGAACAGTTAATAAAGAAGTTGAGGGCATAAGGGAGTTTGTGGAGTGGGAGTTCCAGAGGACCTAGGAATAATCTGAGGTCCAGAGACTTTAGGTAACTAGCATTTGGATAACATTTTAACAGTTTGCAAAACTATTTCCAACTTTCACTAACTTTAAAGTCACACAACTAGAAAGTAGAGGAGCTTTAGACTTAAACCCAGGTTTGTCTGATTCCAAAGTCCATGTTTTTAACCAATGTCACAGCATAGAACAAGGAATCATCCAGCGGCATAAGTGTTGTCCCCAATACCATTTTATAATGGGATTCTACTATATTATCTAAAACTAGATAATTTTTAACTTTTCTATTTTCAAAGAAAGAGTTGCTGGCATTGGAGGATGTAACTCTACAGAACTTGTTCTAATAATACATTTCTCTCTGTCATTTTTTGAAACACTGTAGGAAAACATGTCATTAAGATTAATAATAAAAATAATTTAAAACATATTCTATATTTGCACAGTGCTTGGTTTGGGTGTAGTTCTTACAGACTTCTGTTAAGATCGATACCTGCTGTCAACCCCATTACTTCTTCAATGAGTGTTGTATTAACTTCCTTAATGGTAACTTTCCTCCCTTAGTATTATTATGAGCAAATTACTTTGATGAATTGTCCTATAATCAGTTGAATATAATACATTACACTCGTAAAAATGACCTCTCCTTATTTGCCAGAGTTTTGCAAAGAAGTATTTCTCATGCTAAAATGGTTACTGGGTAGTTTTGGGGAAGATTTAATATGCTAATATACTTAGTTTACTTCTTTTCCATTGTTTTTGACCTAGAAAACTGATTTGATTGGCTAGGAAAACTATATTTTGTCTAGTAGAGTCTGTAGAGCCAAATGCAGTTGCTGACATAAGCAACTTTTAATTCATGACAAGTATGTTAACTTACTTGACTAATTTCAGTTAAATTTAACTACTATTAGGTGGATAAATGTCTCTCTTTTGCTGTGACTAGATTTAGTGGCTTCTTTTCTTTCTCCCTTAAGCACTTTTTTGAGTTCAAGTGGTATATTAGTTATCTATTGCTGTGTAACAAGTTATCCCAAAAGCAGTGGCTTAAAAGAACAGTACACATTTACACATTTTTATCCCTCACATTTTCCATGAGTTAGGAATTTAGGAACAGCTTAACTCGTGGTTCTGGCTTGGGGTCCCTCATGAGAATACATAAAGATGTTGGGGGTTACAACCAAAATGTTGGCCAGGCTGCAGTTATCTGAAGACTTGACAATGGCCAAAGGATCTGCTTTCACGGCGGCTCGCTTACCTTGGCTGGTAAGTTGGTGCTGGTTGTTGACAGCAGGCCTTCGTACCTCTTTACGTGGTCCTCCTTACAGAATTCCTTGAGTGTTTCCATGATATGGTGGCTAGCTCCTCCTCAGAGTGAGCAATGCAAGAGACCATGTGGAAGGAAAATGTCTGTTATTGACTTAGCAGTGGAAGTCACACACTTGTACTTCCACAGTACTCTTCTAGTCACACAGACCAGCCCTAATTCAACATAGGAGGAGACTACAAAAGGGTGTAATACTCAGGAGGCTAGGATCATCAGGGCCATCTGGGAGGCTGGCTACCACAAATGTATTTATTTGAGTTTCAGGAAAGTGAAAAGATATAATTCAGTGGTAAACTTAGAAGGTCATATTTTAGGAGAATTATTAGCTTTTCTTCGTTGAATAAACCGTAATTTATGGGTATTTTTAAGGGGGCCAATTTTGTGCTAGCTTTTCACATTCTAATCACTATTTTAAGTGAAGAGCATTTTTTTTTTTTTTAGATTATTTAAAATATCTGACAACATACGTGGAAGTGCAATTTTGGATTCTCACATTGACTCAGTGAGCATTGTACAAACAGAAATGAATAAAGGGAAATCACGGAACTGTAGCAATAGTAAGCAGAAACGCCAGTATTCAGACATTAACCTGTTTACAGCAAGTGATGCTTTTTCTGCTTCTGACATCAGAGAAAGCATGTTCAAAGCACCGTCTTTTTCAGCTGCATCTCCATCTCATGATATTCAAGGTAATCACTTTCCTTTTCAGTTGGTTTTATAAAGTACAAACTAATCTACATTTCTTAGCACAAGGAAGAATACAAAAATATAGTAAATTTCTTTATTATGTTACATTATTTTTAAAAATGTGTTCTCAATAAAAAGTTATGCAACTTTAATTGAAACAGTTTTTATGGAAAAGTTTTTTTAATCAATATAATTATATAAGTTTTTTTCTTCTTTTTTTTTTTAGGGGTGACTGAAAAAGATTTAGGTTCCTTGAAGGCTGTTACAGAAATCCGTATCCTTTAAATAGTTTCACAACAGCTGCTTTACATTTATAAAATCATGATTTTTAAATATTTTGCTTCATTGTGTTGGTTTATTTTGATTGACAGAAAGAGGGAAAAGTGAACATTTTGGGTTATGTAAGAAAACCAACGTGTGTTATAGTTAAGTATGGTCTGCAGTCTAGTGCCAATCTGATAAAATAAGTACAGAAATTAGATCTGTATTATTGGCTGAACTCTAAGCATATTTACTTACAAATATATACAAATATTTGAGTAAAGGCAGCAGTATTGGGTTGAACATAGGAAGGGGAAGTGGATGTGAATAGGACAGATAATTGTGAATTGAGGTCATTTTTACAGATCTAATATTTTTGAAAGAACCCAAGTTGGAGTTTATACATATAATTTTATTCACATATCTGGGCATTTACAGTGTAAATATTTTGAGTATGTATCTGTGTTTTGATGGGCTCAAGCCTAGCAAAGATTATGAGGATGGTGCAGGACTGGGCAGTGTTTTGTTCTGTTGTACATGGGGTCACTATGGTCGGAACCAGCTTGATGGCACCTAACAACAACAACAACAATCTGTGTTTTGGAGGTAACCTCTTCTTTGATTCCTTAATGCCCTGTGTTTATCTATAATGATGTATTAATTCTATTGTGTGATAATTCATCAGCTGTTTGTGATTCTTTTCCAATGACCTTTGGCAAGGACCATGTCTTGTTTATCTTCCTGTCTACAGATACATTGAAAGGCAGATACAGTAAGAGAAGTTTTTCTGGCAGAAGACTCGACATGAGCAAGGGTAAGGTAAAAAAGTATGGAGTATGTTTGGAGAAGAATAGTATTCCAGTTTGGCTGAAATGAAAGACATAACTAAAGGAATAGTAGGAAATAATTGGAATAAGTATCTTAGGATAAGCTCATTTAATGTCATGAATACCAAGGTCAAGTGTGTTTTGTTTTTGTTTTTAATGAATTCTTTAAGTAACAAGGATAAATCATGTAGTATTTTTGGGTAGGTTAAGTTACATCATCAAAACTATGCTTTAGGAATATGGCATTAGTGACTCAAAGCTGGGGAAGGCTCTAGAATTCATAAAACTTATGGTCTAGTTGGAAAACCCCCATGTGTCTGTCAGTTTATCATACTCTGGGGGCATGTGTGTTGCTGTGATGCTGAAAGCTATGCCACCAGTATTCAGATACCAACAGGATCACCCATGGCGGACAGGTTACAGGTGAGCTTCCAGACTAAGACAGACTAGGAAGAAGGACCCGGCAGTCTACTTCTGAAAAGAATTAACCAGTGAAAATCTTATGAATAGCAGCAGAACATTGTCTGATATAGTGCCGAAGATGAGCCCCCCAGGTTGGAAGGCACTCAAAAGACAGCTGGGGAAGAGCTGCCTCCTCAAAGCAGAACTGACCTTAATGATGTGGATGGAGTCAAGCTTTTGGGACCTTCATTTGCTGTTATGGCATGACTCAAAATGAGAAGAAACAGCTGCAAACATCCAGTAATAATTGGAACGTGGAATGTGCGAAGTATGAATCTAGGAAAATTAGAAATCACCAAAAATGAAATGGAACACATAAACATCGATATCCTAGGCATTGGTGAGCTGAAATGGACTAGTATCGTCCGTTTTGAATCTGACAGTTATATGGTCTACTATGCCGGGAATGACAACTTGAAGAGGAATGGCGTTGCATTCATTGTCAAAAAGAACATTTCAAGATCTATCCTGAAGTACAACGCTGTCAGTGATAGGATAATATCCATACGCCTATGAGGAAGACCAGTTAATATGACTATTTTCAAATTTAGCCACCAACTACTAAGGCCAAAGATGAAGAAACTGAAGGTTTTTACCAGCTTCTGCAATCTAAAATTGATTGAACATGCAATCAGGATGCATTGATCATTACTGGTGATTGGAATGCAAAAGTTGGAAACAAAGAAGGACTGGTAGTTGGAAAATATGGACTTGGTGATAGAAACCATGCCGGAGATCGCATGATAGAATTTTGCAAGACAAATGACTTCTTCATTGCAAATACCTTTTTCACCAACATAAATGGCAACTATACACTTGGGCCTCGCCAGATGGAATACACAGGAATCAAATCAGCTACATCTGTGGAAAGAGATGATGGAAAAGCTCGATATCATCAGTCAGAACAAGGCTGGGGGCCGACTACGGAACAGACCATCAGTTGCTCATATGCAAGTTCAAGTTGAAACTGAAGAAAATTAGAACAAGTCCACGAGAACCAAAGTACAACCTTAAATATATCCCACCTGAATTTAGAGGCCATCTCAGGAATAGATTTGACGTGTTGAACATTAATGACCAAAGACCAGACGAGTTGTGGAATGATGTCAAGGGCATTATACATGAAGAAAGCAAGAGGACATTAAAAAGACGGGAAAGAGAAGACCAAAATGGATGTCAGAAGAGACTCTGAAACTTGCTCTTGAAAGTTGAGTAGCTAAAGCAAAAGGAAGAAATGATGAAGTAAAAGAACTGAACAGAAGATTTCAAAGGGTGGCTAGAGAAGACAAAGTAAAGTATTATAATGACACATACAAAGGGCTGGAGACAGAAAACCAAAAGGGAAGAACACTCTCGACATTCCTCAAACTGAAAGAACTGAAGAAAAAATTCAAGCCTCGAGTTGAAATAGTGAAGGATTCTACGGGGGAAAATATTAAATGATGCAGGAAGCATCAAAAGAAGATGGAAAGAATACATAGAGTCATTATGCCAAAAATAATTGGTCGACGTTCAGCCATTTCAAGAGGTAGCATATGATCAGGAACCGATGGTACTGAAGGACGAAGTCCAAGCTGCACTGAAGGCATTGACAAAAAACAAGGCTCCAGGAATTGACGGAATATCAACTGAGATGTTTCAACAAACGGATGCAGCTCTGGAAGTGCTTTCTCGTCTATGCCAAGAAATTTGGAAGACAGCTACCTGACCACCTGACTGGAAGAGATCCACATTTATGCCTATTCCCAAGAAAGGTTATCCAACCGAATTCCGAAATTAATAATATCATTAATATCACACGCAAGTAAAATTTTGCTCACGATCATTCAGAAGTGGCTGCAGCAGTATGTCGACAGGGAACTGCCAGAAATTCAGGCTGGATTCAGAAGAGGATATGGAACCAGGGATATCATTGCTGATGTCAGATGGATCCTGGCTGAAAGTAGAGAATACCAGAAATATGTTTACCTCTGTTTTATTGACTATGCAAAGGCATTCGATTGTGTGGATCATAACAAATTATGGATAACATTGCGAAGAATGGGAATTCCAGAACATTTAATTGTGCCCGTGAGGGAACCTGTACATAGATCAAGAGGCAGTTGTTCGGACAGAACAAGGAGATACTACATGGTTTAAAGTCAGGAAAGGTGAGCATCAGAGTTGCATCCTTTCACTATGCCTAGTCAGTCTGTATGCTGAGCAGCTGGACTATATGAAGAAGAACGGGGCATCAGGATTGGAAGAAGAGTCATTAACAACCTGCGTTATGCCGATGACACGACCTTGCTTGCTGAAAGTGAAGAGGAAGCACTTACTGATGAAGATCAAAGACCACAGCCTTCAGTATGGATTACACCTCAACATAAAGAAAACAAAAATCCTCACAACTGGACCAATAAGCCATATCATGTTAAACAGAGAAGAGATCGAAGTTGTCAAGGATTCGTTTTACTTGGATCCACAATCAACACCTATGGAAGCAGCAGTCATGAAATCAAAAGATGCATTGCATTGGGCAAATCTGCTGCAAAAGACCTCTTTAAAGTGTTGAAAAGCAAAGACGTCACCTTGAAGACTAAGGTGCGTCAGACCCAAGCCATGGTATTTTCAATCACATCAAATGCATACAAGAGCTGTACAATGAATAAAGAAGACCAAAGAAGAATTGACACCTTTGAATTGTGGTTTTGGCAAAGAATATTGAATATACCACGGACTGCCAAAAGAAGGAACAAATCTGTCTTGGAAGAGGTACAGCCAGAATACTCCTTAGAAGCAAGGACGGCGAGACTATGTCTTACGTACTTTGGACGTGTTGTCAGGAGGGGTCAGTCCCTGGAGGACATCATGCTTGATAAAGTAGAGGGTCAGCGAAAAAGAGGAAGACCCTCAACGAGATGGATTGACACAATGGCTGCAACAATGGGTTCAAGCATAACAACGATTGTGAGCATGGTGTAGGACCAGGCAGTGTTTTGTTCTGTGGTGCATCGGGTCGCTATGAGTCAGAATCAACTCGACGGCACCTAACAACAACAACAACAGTTGGAAAAACAGAAAATTTATTCCAGATATTGGGCAGTTGAGCCAGAGAAATCTAGGGGACAATTACTCTAATTCTGGGTATTCTGTTTTTCATCTGAAATATTTGCAAAGTATAGTAAGAAAATGTTTGCCTGACCACTTGTGAAAATTACCTCCAATGCAGATAACTGAATTGAGTTAGAATGGGAGGGGAGCAATAGTAGGGTTGTATATGGTAATATAGTAACTTCAGACATAGCCAGTCTTTAATGCTTCTGTTCAGCATGGTGTCTTAATCCCTGTTGAAGTTCCTTCTCTCTGGTGATCTAAATAAGGATGGGAACATAGGAAGTGAGTTAGCAGTGAGCAATTACAGATTGTTTCATTATCTGTATGATGGTAAAATTTTCTTATCTTTTGCTGGAAACCTTTCTGTAATGTGACAGACTATCTTTTTTAAGAATTTTATTTTAAAGATTTTCATGATATATTCGCACAGCTGAACAGTGGTTCTGTTGTCCAAGTCTGTTTGTTAGTTAAGACTATTGCCTACACTTATGTCCATTGATTTATTGTCCATAAAGCTCATTTGCTGCCAAACTCATCAAACTGCTACACTTTATTGTTTCCAAGTGTATATTTAAGGTGGGAGACTGAACACTATTGATGATAATTTGAAAGTTTGTGTACTATTTGGACACAAATTTATTTTCTGTTTCTCAGTATTTTACTGTATTTGAATCCTCAGGACAATTTGAATCCTCAGATTGATCTTGCCACAATACTCTTGTCGTTTTTAGTTCTACAGACATTTCCCCCCATTATTACATATAATTGCAGTGACACTGCTGAGAGTTCGTTGAATGAAAGGAAAAATTTGATATCAAGTGTTGATAGTTATAATAAATGATGTTAGCAGTCATGTTTTCTCATGAGCTAGAAAGGCTGATTCTACATCTACTCTGAATCAAAGATTCGTTTTCGTGAATATAAACTGATGTGGAAATGCCTAATGAGAGAAAAACCAGCATGATGGCCCACTTGTGGGCTTGTTACAAGTAAATATTTTATAGCAAGAGACATATTTTGAGGGAAAAATGAGATTCATTCAAAAGCTGATGGATTGACAAAATTAAAACTACATTTCTGTTTTGGCACAAATATTCTGGTACTCTGTACAACTGAAATTAAAATGAAGATTTTTAAATCTTATTTGCTTAACTTAATAAATGCAAACCTATATTAATGGAGTGCTTACTTTGTGCCAGGAATTGTTCTAGGTATTTGGGCTATATTAGTAAAAAAAACAGAATGCATACTTGCAGTTATAGAGCTTGCAGTCTTGGGATGGAAGTGGGAGACAGGATAGATCTGAACAATTGTAACAGTAAATAAATACGTCTTGTTGTATCTTAGAAGGTAATGGGTACTATGGGAAAAGGGAAAAGTAGAACAGGATAAAGTGAATTAAATGAGATATGCTGGGAGTGGAGGTTCAGGTTGAAGAATTAGATAGGGTGGTTAGGGTAGGCCTTGTTGATAAGTGAGATTTAACATTTGAAGGAGGTGAAAGAACCAAGGAAATGTGGGAGGAAGAACCATCTAGACAGAGGGAAGGCCTTACAGTAGAAACATAACTGATGTTTTTGAAGAACAACGAAGAGTCCAGTATAGCTAGAGGAGAGTCAGTCGGGGAGAAGAGTAATAGGACATGAAGTCAGAAAGATAAAGGGGGAACAGATCACATAGGGCCTTATAGCCATATACTTTGAGAGAAGGGGGGGATTTGAATAGAAGCAATACGATTTAAGTTTTAACTGGATCACTCTGGCTGCTCAGTTGAGAATAGACTATAAGGGGCAAGGGTAGGAACAGAGAGAGAAATTAGGAGATACTGTAATAATCTAATCCAGGTGAGGGATGATGATAACTGTACCAGGGTGGTAGAAGTAGATTCTGGATCTATGTATTTTTAAGGTAGAGCCAATAGGATTTGCTGAAATATTAGATGTGGAGTGTGAAAGAAAATAAATCAGGAATAACTCCATGGTTTTTGACTTGAGAAACTGCAAGAAATGGAATTGCCATTAACTGAGATGGGGAAGATTGTAGGTAGAACAGATCGTGGGGAGGGAGGATTGGGAATTATTTTTAAAAATATGTTAACTTTGAATGGGCAGTTGGATATATGAATTTGGAGTTCTGGGAAGAGACCTAGGCTGGAGATACCAATCTGGACCTCTAAAGCCATGAGATTGAATGAAATCATCAAAAAAATGCACATACACCCACTCCTCACTTATCAACATGCTTGGGTTCCAAACACTAGGTCATTATGCAAAAATCAGCATTATATAAAAATGAAGGATGACCAGATCAGATCAGAAAATATTGTGTGGGACACATATGTCCCTCTGGACCTGAAAAACAGAAAATGTAGGTGGGCGCTATGTATCTCACTGGTCATGAAAGGGTTACTGCCAGCTGTACATTGTTAATGTGCAGAATAGTCAAACATTAGATTTTTTACTATTGTCATAAAGGCAAAATGTCAGATAATGAGATAGTCGATAAGTGAAGAGTGTATATATATACACACATATATGCAGAGAGAGAGAGAAGTAAGATGTCCAAGGACTACTCTAGCTCTGTTCAATGTTGAGAGGCCAGGAAAAAGAGAAACTAGCAAAAGAAATTGAGAACAAGCAGCCTCTGAGATTAGAGAGGTATCCTAGAAGCCAAGTGAAGAAAGTGGGGATTATAGGGCAGAAGATGGGTAGTTTCCTGTAAATCGGGGGCTTCTTATGGTTGTGGTGACGAATATAAATGGTCATTATAGGGCATCAAATGAAATTAGTATGGTAGAATCAAGGTGGATATTGGTGGAGAAGCTGTGTATGTTGGAGGATACATAGAGAGGGATAAGTGTCAACGGCTTTCTTATGTCTTCATATGGACATACAACATACAAAATTCAAGCTAGTCTGTGTAGAGGATGTTTTACTTTAAGCAAAGGATAGAGAAGCAAGGGAGGCTCTCTTCTCTTAACACTTCTTAGGCTGTCAATGAAGGCTAGATCTTACTCTGAGTTTCAGGTTACCTCTTGATTCTTACTGATAAAGAGAGTAGGAGGCTTGGGAATGGTGGATTTTATTATGAATTTTCAATCCTATCATTGGAGAGATTTTAATGAGGTTTCAAAAGGGACTTTAACTTGAATTCCAGCTGACATTAACTGAAAACTATCTCTGAGTCAAGGAGCCCTGGTGACACAATGGTTAAGCACTCAGCTGCTAACTGAAAGGTTGGCAATTCAGACCCATCCAACAGCTCTGTAGGTGAAAGACCTGACATCTGCTCCTGTAAAGATTACAGCCTAGGAAACCCTATGGGCCAGTTCTGCTCTGCCACATGGGGTCGCTATAAGTCAAAATCGACTCAACAACACCTAACAGCATCGCTGAGTCAAGCACTATCATAGATTATCTATGAGCTAGGTTCTCTTAATAACCTCTGTCTTGGTTGGGTTCTCTAGAGAAGCAAAACCAATGAGACGTAATTATAAATGTATACAGAGAGATTTACTTCAAGGAATGGTCCATGTGATCGTGAGGGCTGGCAAGTCGCAAATCTGCAGGTCAGGTGACAGACACGCTGGAGACTTCTGCAGGCTTACATCCCAAGGTCTGGAGGCTCAGCAACAAGAAGAGTGCATGGTCCAGAGAGAGTGAGAGAGAGAGAGGGTGATCTGCCAGAAGAGAGAGAGAGAGAGCACTCTGCCAGAAAAGAGAGAGAGAGTGTGCTCTGCCAAAAGAGAGAGAGCGCTCTCCCAGAATATCCATTTATATTCTGGTGGCAGGCCACACCCACAAGGAAACTCCCCTTTCAACTGATTGGTTGATCACATCATGGAAAGTCATTACATTACATAACATTACAGAGCAGCAACCAGTTCCAGTATCTGTCAAACCACGGAGAATCATAGCCTAGCCAGGTTGACATATAAAATTAACCATCACAAGCTCCTTTTACAGAGAAGTTAAAAAACTTCTTACAGTTAGTAAGTGTGTACTGTATACTGCCTTTCCTATCACTCCAGCAATCCATCAGTTCCCGTATGTCTTCATACGAATATAATTGCTTAAATAATTGTTTATTTGTGTTCTCAGATATATCAGGTATCTGTGTTATCTCTCCTAATAGATTATAACAGCCTTTATTATAGGAACTCATTTTCTTCATTATTTACAGCTCCCTGCAGCTTTCTATTTCTAGAGATATATTCTGCAAGTAGGGTTTAATAAATGTAGGTGACAAATTGTGACTCAGACTAAGAGGAGTATCAGGTAAGTATAAATACCTCCCAAACTGGCAATAGACTTATCACCTTAGGTCTATTTTTCGTATCTAGTAATATTTTTTAACTTTCTGACAGGAGAAGGATGATGGAAATCATTCTTGTTGAGCCAATATAATGATAATCACAGTTAAATCCACTACTTAACCAAATTATCAAAAAACAAAGGGTTTCACAGTTAATTGACTAGAAACGTATATATCATCTAATAAAGCATAATCAACAGTTAAAAAGTGAACTTCAGAACATTAAAGAAGAGATAAAAATCAAGTGGTTTAGTCAAGATGAATAAGAAAAAGTAGTACTCTGGAAAAGATAAACTAGAAGCTTGTGTCTCTTCCATCAGATCTAACTTTTTTGTTTTGCCATAGGGACTTGACGAGTTCTCAGAATATGGAATATGACCGGGGACTAGAATAATTTGTTAATTTCCTTCCTAAAATGCCAAAATAGCAAATGTTAAAGCCTCATCATTAAATATTTTCAAAGTCAGTATTAAGTCAATTGAATTTTTAAATGAAAAGTAACCAATTTTTAAAATTCTGAAATATTTGGCTCCTTAATGTTATCCTAAGCGGCAAAATTTAGAAGTATTTTCAAAGAATTCCCATATTTCAACTATATACAGTCCAAGGCCTTTGATGATGTAAGTATTTTATTATAATTATTTATTTATCTGTCTCTTCTCACTAAATTGTGTCCTAAGGTTAGAGATTAGATTTCATTCATCTTTATGTCTCCCATGCCAAACTTAGTGATTGGTACGTTATAGGAGCTCAAAAATATATGTTAAATGAATGCACATGACTTCCATGGGTATGTTGATTTGTATTTATTAGATTTATAAAAAATTTCTCTGGAAGCTAAAGGTGTGATTTTCTGCTATGTCTAGCATATCACTTTGACATGTATAACAGGGTGATAAATTATTAATAGTGTTGTATATATTTGGGAGGAGAAAGTCTGGAGCAAAGTTATAATTCTAATCATTTTCAAAGTAAAAATGTTTGAACTGTTATTTCTTAGAGGCTTTTCTAAGTCATATTTTCTAACAAATTGAGAATGTGTGTGGAAATTCTATATATATAATATGATTGATTAAATTTTATTTTTTAGCTTCTTTACACAGATAGGAATTTCGTGATTTGTGCTCCTACTGGTTCTGGGAAAACTGTATTATTTGAACTAGCTATAACAAGATTGCTAATGGAAGTGCCATTGCCATGGTCGAACATTAAAATTGTTTACAGTAAGTATTTATATATTATAAAAGTGATGATTAATTACAGTAATGAAAGAAACAGTGACACAAAACATTATAATAAGTAAACTCAAGGGCAATCCATAGGAATTATTATTGGGTTTTCCTACATTTTTTGTAAGGACCTATCACAATTGATTTTGCCTGTTACCTTAGTTTCAAAACACGTTTTCCCAGAGCTATAACTAAAAAGTAATATATGAGATGAAAATTTGACCTCTACATGCTTATTTTGTAAAAGTCTGTCAAAATAAACAAATTTCTTAGTTTTTTTAGAAATAATTTTCATCAAAGTAGTATGCGCACATGGTTAAAAAAAAAAGAGTATCACAAAAGCGCTGATAGTGAGAAACAGTAATCTGCTACCATACCTCACTCATAGTCACACTTCCCAGAGGCAGTGACTTCTACTTCTATTTTAGTTCTTTTGATGATTATCTTTTATCTCTAAATAATATGCTTATTTTATTTTTAATTTACCAATATTAGCAATATTGATATTTTTAGCCTAACTTTATTAAGCAAGAGTTGTGAAAATAATTTTAAAATTGCACAGACATTCAAAATAAATATTTTATATTGTTATAGTGGCACCAATAAAAGCCCTGTGTAGTCAGCGTTTTGACGACTGGAAAGAAAAATTTAGACCAATAGGACTGATCTGTAAAGAACTCACTGGAGATACTGTCGTGGATGATCTGTTTGAGATTCAACATGCCCATATTATTATGACAACTCCAGTAGGTGTTATTTATAATTTATTATTTATTTCATTTATTAGAAAATACTTCTTTTCACTAAGAAAACAAAGGTAAAAGAAAATATAGAGCAGAGGAAATTTGCAATGTAAAGCAAAACAAAAACAGAAAAAGGACTAGCAGACTAGTATTCGGGGTATGTAAAGAATACCTGCAGATCAATGAGCAAAAGACAAATGACCAAGTAGGAAACATGCGTAAAAGATATGAATAGATAATTTTTAAATTATAGGCCATTCGTAATTATATATTTATTGCTTGTATTCTTTACCCAAGTATTATATGTTATATATAGTGTGTCTGTATGTGTATACACTAAGCTCTTCTCTCGGTAGAGCTTAAAATAGGTAATATTATTTTGTGGTTAAACTTAAAAACAATGAAACCTCACAGTTTTTTAAATACCTGCAAGACTGTCAGAATCCTTTAAATGCTTTTTAGTCTTTAATTTTTTTCCAGAATACTTTTAAGATGTCAACTCAAATATTGCCTATCATTTGTGGCATGTTACGTTAGAAATTTATTTGTGTATTAATAATATTTATTATAATTCCTTATGACAGTAAATCATTTGCATTTTGCTCTCTAGGAAAAATGGGATAGCATGACTAGGAAATGGAGAGACAACTCTTTGGTCCAGCTGGTTCGCCTGTTTCTCATTGATGAGGTAGTAAACACATCATTCACTTCCAGATATAAGCATAAAAAGACGATAGGATAGACAGAAAGAAACAAGACATTTGCAGCCAAACTAGATATCTATTTTATTCCTTCAAGCAGAAAATAAGCTCCTTTTATTAAGGAAGAATGTTAATATTATTTTACATTTTAATTGATTAAGTATATGTTTAGTTTTATAGCTAATGGTTGTTTCTTGGTTTCTTACATAGGTACACATTGTAAAAGATGAAAATCGTGGTCCCATTCTTGAAGTTGTAGTCAGCAGAATGAAAACTGTACAGTCTTTGTCTCAGACTTTAGAAAATACAAGCACTATTATTCCAATGAGATTTGTAGCTGTATCTGCAACAATTCCAAATGTTGAAGATGTAAGTTAGAATTTTAATCTCTTGGGGTTTTTTATGACTTGTGAAATATTTAGCCATTTGGTCTTATAGAAAATGATCTGTCAATCAGCTAATCAATTTAATAGAAAAGTGTGTTATAGAAAATTGTGGCTAGCTCCCATAGTTAAGGTATTATTAAGAACATAAAATTTGGTTGAGCCAGTTTAATAAAACATATTTTTGGTAAAAGTCTGTTGTTTGTTTGCATCTAGAAGTCTTAGTTTCATGGGCTCAGACACCTCATAATAACTTGATGCTTATACCCAGCTTACCTCTAGTTGTATAGCACTGTAAGGTGGAGAGTAAAAATAATTGCTTAGATGATTACCATCTACCCACCCCCAATTCGACGTGCCTGGCATTGTGGTAAGCACTAATGATAGATGTAAAGATGAAAATATATAGACCCTGCCCTTGAGTAGGATCTCAAGGCTGATGAGGAAAACAGATATTTAAGGAAATAATTGTATATAGTATTATACTTTCCATAATAGATATATATCCTAATTTTTTTCGTCAATTTTTAGGCAAGATTCTTGAAAAACAGACTGTCTCATTCTGTTAGCTCACTCCTATTTACTCCTCAACCTACTATAATATGGCTTTTTTACCTGCTCCTTCTTAGAAATTGATTTCACAGACATCTGCTATCATGTCTAATCCAGTGGAAATTTTTCTCTTTATCATTAATTTGGCATAATTAATCATTTTCTTATTTTTGAAGTGGCAACTGGTTTTTTTCATATATTCGAATATAAATATAGAAAATTTTAAAGTATATATAAACAGCAAAACAAAAACCCAATATATATATTTGCAGGTATATTCACGGAATCGTAATGTACATATTTTTTTATGACCTACATTTCCCCTACAAATATTACCATGTCATTAAATATTCTTTTCAATACTGTTTTTGTGATTTTATCATTATTTATTTATCTAATCCCCTACTGATGAAAGATTAATTTATTTCCTTTTTCTACTATTGTAAACAGTGCTGTATTAATATATCTTTGAAAACATTCATGATTATTTCCTCAGGATTAACTTCCAGGTAAAATAACTGATTCAAAGGTTATATAAAACTCTTAAGGACACACCCCCTTCAACAAATATTATATTCATTTACACTTCTACAAGCAGTCATTTTTCTGTATCCTAACACTGGATAGTATAATAATGAAATTATTATTGTTACTGTTATTTTAAAACACTTGTCAAATTTATTGTTTAAAATGATATCTTAATTTTAAAATTTGCACTTCTTTGATTTCTACTGAAGGAAATATTTTTAACATATTTATGAACTACTTTAAGCTCTTCTTTTGCACGTTGCCAGATCATATCCTCTACCTTTTTTTTCCATTGGGATACTAAACTTTTTCTTACCAATTTGCAAGCAATTATAACATGTCAGTGCTCTCTAATTTTTGAAACTCTCCCTCTGTGACAATCACTACTTTTGCAGTTGAGATTTATTAATCTTTCTTCAGTTCCTCTTCCTCTATTTTCGCCTAAATTAAGATCTTCATTCCTATCCTTCTGCCTTTCTCACACTGTAAATTCTTGTTATGATCTTCACTCAACCCATGATAGCCTTAAAAATATTTTGATATTTTCTTCCTGTACAAGAAATTCATGAATCCATCTTCTTACTGTCAAAGCAGTTGCCAGTTTAGTATCAAGGCATGAAGCCTGGGTACCAACCAAGCTATGTGAAGGTAAAGATTGCAGAAATTAAACTAAGGACTCTAGCATTGAGTCTGAAATGTGCTTTTGGGCCTGCCATCTCACAAGTGTTTATTAGTTCTTTCCTTAAAAATTGCCAGTCCTTGCCAGCCTAAGCCAACCATTACTTTGCTACTGTCCAGCTAGTATATAGGGTAATAAAAAAGTGTTAGCCATTTCCCAGCATAGCTCTGAAAAATAGTAAATAAATTGCAATGATGATGAAAATTTTAGTATCTATGCCAAAATCGATTTTAATTTTCAATATGAGTCTTAGAAGGTAAATAAAACACAATAGCAATAATTTGAAGTTTACCTTAGTGAAAAGTGATTATAATCTAGAATTACTGCTATCGATAGTACTTAACAGTATATCAATAGAATAGTATTAATGGGATATGTAATATTGAAAAAAAGTATTTGATTAATACTTTTATACCTTGACTTTAAAGTGGTCTATAATTGGGTTATTTTTAGCCAAAGAACTTTATTAAAAATTTTAATGTATATATGTCTATTATTTTCAGATTGCAGAATGGCTTTCAGATGGTGAGAAACCTGCTGTATATCTGAAAATAGATGAGAGCCACAGACCAGTGAAACTTCGAAAAGTAGTCCTTGGATTTCCCTGCAGTAGTAACCAAACTGAATTTAAGTTTGACTTAACCCTCAATTACAAAATCGCCAGTGTTATACAAACATACTCTGATCAGAAACCCACACTTGTGGTATGGATTGTTCATTCCTTATTTTTCAGAGTAATGGTTAGTTTTTAACATGATTAATACAAAATTATTAATTCATTTTCAGTTCTGTGCAACAAGGAAAGGTGTGCAACAGGCTGCTTCTGTTCTTGTGAAGGATGCTAAATTTATTATGAGTATGGAACAGAAACAGAGGTATATTTTTTTCATCTTTTTTTGGAGGTAGAAGGACTTTTACATGAGATAACTGGATTAGTCCCTTAATCTTGGACAGGTTATTTGACCTCTCCAAGCCTCAGTTTCCTCATCTGTAAAATAAAGATAATAGCAAATTTGAACATTAAATGAGATAATGAACCTCAGCACAGCTGTGATCCTATCTTTATTTCATTGCCCGTGTTCTTGAAAGATGATGTTTATTGTTGTCTTCCTTTCTTTCCTCACTTTCAATCCAACATCTGTTGTCATCTTTCACTAAAACTGCTTTGCTAATTGATATCTTCGGAAACTCTAACATATTTGACAACTCACACTTTCTTTAAAAACCCTGGACTCTGTACTTCCATGATCATCCTCTGCTGATTTTCTTTCTACTTTGCTGGCCTCTCGTTCTCAGTCCCCTTTTCACCTCTTCTTCCAAACTCTTAAATTCTGACATTCTCAGGGTTCCATCCTAGGTTCATGCTTCCTCATTCCATACTCCTAGATGATTGCGTCTACTCCAGGGTTCAAAAAATATATTTATACGCATGTTTAAGGTTCAGTATTACAGCTTATAAATTAGGGACTCTTGAATATGAAAGTTAGAAATTCCTTACTTCTTAGAAGATAGTTTTCAGATAATAATATTGTGAAAATCTTTTGATGTCTGTAAGCTTCAAAATACTTAGTTAATAAATTATTTCACATTTTTATGATATTATCAGGAATAATAATTAATAATTTTATTATATTTTAAATAGGCTACAGAAGTGTGCAAATTCCGTAAGAGATTCAAAACTGAGAGGTAGGTTTATAGGTAAATTTTGAATAGTATTTCAGGTATAGATAAAAGGAATCAGTTACTGATGAAATATTAACAATAAATAACAGATTACATATTTCTGTTGTAGATATTGTCATACATGGTGTTGCTTATCATCATGCTGGTATGGAGCTGCCAGATAGAAAAGTAGTTGAAGGAGCTTTTACTGTTGGAGATCTACCAGTTCTTTGTAAGTAAAACATATTCTTGTGGGTATTATAAGGTATTTTGGGAAAATTTTAAGAGGCAAAAACCTTTAGTACTCTAACTTATTTCTGCTTTTCTTCCAAGAATCTAAAGTTATATAACTATCCATATATATACTTGTGACAGTAAACTCTTTGGCAATGTTTAGTTCTTTATCTTGTTACTGAATATAGTGCATATTTAAAAGTAAGAATTGAATAGTTTTTTGGTTTTAAGATGTGGTATTGTTTTAGGTTTTAAAGTTCTTTTTGTCCTTCTTTTCTAAATTTGCTATTTATGATTTTTATTACTTTTATAATATGAGGGGGAGGACCTTAAAAAGAAAATGTCTTCCTGAAATAATAAAGTTATATGGTTTGAAATGAATATTCCTTAATCTGATGCAGTTACTACCAGTACTTTAGCTATGGGAGTAAATTTGCCTGCTCATCTAGTAGTTATAAAATCTACAATGCATTATGCTGGAGGAATGTTTGAAGAATACAGTGAAACAGATATTCTACAGATGATTGGTAGAGCTGGTCGACCTCAAGTAAGTAACAGGAACTTTGCTTTTTGTAACTCATTTTAAATACATGATAAAAACAAACAAGCAAAAAAAGTTTTTATGTACTTTTGGTGAACAAAAAGTTAGCATTTCATGCTAGATTCGATTTAAAACTAAATGTACCTGAGAAAATCTATTCTAACAGCAACAGAAGTAAAACAAGTCTCATTAACCAGGCATACTCCTGCCACTCCCTCTAAACTCCCATTGGTTGATTGAAGGGATGGGCTTATGAATGGATAAACTGTTAAAAGACATTTTTGGTTTTGAGTTTTGTTTATTTGTTTTGTATTGTGAACGTGGATGCTATTGACATTTTGGGTGAAACAGTTTTTCATTGTGCATTGCAGAACGTATATCATGCCTGGGTCCTGGCACTAAATGCCAGTAGGTATCTCCAGGCATTAATATGACAATAAAAATATCAGCCCATACACGTTTCAAAACATAACCTACTCTGACAAATACTTGAATAATAAAGTTATTTCGATAGGTACTAAGGGAACATTTAGGAAGAATATCTTTTCAAAGAGTCTCAAAATATTGTTAATACAAATTATAATTTTTATAGGATAAATTAGACTGTATTTAAATTACTCAGAATCCTGCAAGTTCTATCCAATTATCTAAACTTGTTTTGATTTTACCACTGCCAAAGTTGTGTTACACTGAAACCAAAGTAGTACTTAAAGTTATACTCTTAGAAGGTTTTAAAATTACATTTTCAGATAACATTTCAAAATCAGAAGAGTTTTTTAGTCCTTTTTGACCTGTTGTTCAAGACAAGGGAACTGTTCAATATGAAGTGAAATTCTTGAGTTATTGAAGAGAACTGGTATGAATGTGTGGTCTTCTTTACTAAATTTCTCTGTGTATTCTTTTTCAGTTTGATAGTACAGCTACTGCAGTTATTATGACTCGGTTAAGTACAAAAGAGAAGTACATTCAGATGTTAGCTTGTAGTGACACTGTAGAAAGCAGGTAATACAAAAAATTTCCAAAAAGATAATAATGTTAATACAGTCTATTTTTTTTCTTGTAATAATATTAAAGGAAAATTTGGTTTGGGAGTTTCCTAAGAATATTTTCTTGACACTTTTCAACAATTATAACAAAATTGTTTGTGTCCTTTTAAGGAGGTCTTATTTATCTAGAGCTGCTATAACAGAAATAACACAAGCCATTGGCTTTAACGAACAAATCTATTTTCTCATAGTTTAGGAGTCTAGAAGTCCAAATTCAGGGTGCCAACTCTAGGGCAAGGCTTTCTCTCTCTGTTGGCTCTGAAGGAATGTCCTTGTCTCTTCTGAGCTTCTGCTCCTGGATGATCTTCATGTGGCTTGTCATGTCCTTTCCCATCTCTGCTTGTTTAATCTCTTTTATATCTCAAAAGAGATTGAATTAATATACACCCTACACTGATCCTGTCTCATTAACATAACAAAGACAACCCATTCCCAAATGGGATTATAGCCACAGGCATAGAGGTTAGGATTTACAACACATATTTTGGGGGGACACAATTAAATCCATAACATTCCACCCCTTGCCCCCTCCCCAAATTCATATCCTTCCCACATGCAAAACACATTAACCCCATCACATCATCCCAAAAGTCTTAAATCAACTCTGAGTCCCAAATCTCTTCTTCTGAATCATCTAAATCAAATATGGGTGAGACTTTAGGCATATTGCATCCTGGGGCAAAATTCCTCTTCATCTGTGAACCTGTGAAATCTAGATTACAAGTTATCTGTTTCCAAAGTACAATGGTGGAAGAGGCACAAGGTAAACATTTCCATTACAAATGGGAGAAATTTGAGGGAAAGAAAGGATAACAGTCACCAAGCAAGTCCAAAACCATGCAGAACAGTTTACATTAGCTCTCAAGCCTTGAAAATAATCCTCTGTTCTCTGAGAACATCTGGGCAATGGCCCTACCCTCCAGGCTCTGGGAGTGAGCCACATTCTCTGGATTCTGGTTAGAGGCCCCTCAGCCCTGGGCTTCAGCTTCGCCTTCCAGGCCCACTGGGGTATCGACTCTGCTCCCTTGGCTTTGGGTGGCCCCATTCTCCTAGTCTATCTGAGTAGCCATCCCATCCCCTCGGCTCTGGCAGGCCCCATTCTTCTGTCCCTTGGGCATGGTGGTCCCATCCCTTCAGCTTTGGGCAGTGGTCCCATCCCTCTGGCACACCTTAATGGCAGTCCCACACTCTGGAACCGAGTTGACGAAGGCCTGACTCTTTGAAACCTAAGAGACTGTGACCTCCCTTTGAGATCCAGGAGACTGTGACTCCACACTTTGAAACTGAGAAGGCTTTGCTTCCCGTGCTCCTTCCAGTAGTTCTTCTGATTGTCAAGCTGCCCCAGGGATGGCCATTTTCTTTTTTGGGAGGACAACAGATATGGCGCCTTTGGCCTGTTTCCTGCCTGTAGAATTCCAAGAGGCAGACAGTTTTCTTTCCTTTTGTCCTGCCTCTGACCCCTTCAGTCTAAGCTGATGAGTTTTCTGCTGTGGTAGTTGGTTAGATCCATCAGTCACAGGCTTAATATCTTTAACAAAAGATTATGTAGCCATGTCCTTGGTGAAATTTCTAGGACACATGTCCTTAGTTTGTATAACAGAGTTTTCCCAATCTTTAAGTTCTGTTTTCATTTTACACAGTTCAGATTTAAGTCCACCTCTTTCCTCACATGTTTTACTATAAGTAGCAAGGAGAAACAACATGGCCCCTATAAGATCTTGCTTAGAGATCTCCTCAGCCAGATATCCAGGTTCATCACTTACAAGTTCTACCTTCCACCAAATATTTGAACTTAATTCAGGCAAGTTCTTTGCTACTGCATAAAAAGCATCACTCTTCCTCCATTGTCGAATCACATGTTCATCGTTTTCTTTTAAAGCCTTCCCAAAAGCACATTTAACGTCCACATTTCTAGCAACATTCAGTTGCTTATGCCATATGTATTCTCTAAGATGATAGAATTTCTCTATAGCTCTCCTCATTTCCTTCTCAGCCCTCACCAGAATTGCCTTTGATGTCCATAATTCTACCAACAGTCTCTTCAAGGCAATCTAGGCTTTTACTATTAGGTACTTCAAAATTTCTTCCAGCCCCTACCCATTACGCAATTCCAACATTTCCACATTGTAGGTACTTGTTAGATCAGCACCCCCACATCTTGGTACCAAATTCTTAGTTATCTAGTGCTGCTATAACAGAAATACCACAAATGGGTGGCTTTAACAAACAGAAATTTATTTTCTCACAGTGTAGGATACTAGAAGTCTGAATTCAGGGTGCCAGGTCTAGGGGAAGACTTTGTCGGTTCTAGAGGACAGTCCTTGTCTCTTCTGAGCTTCTGCTCCTGGGTGATCTTCATGTGGCTTGGCATTTCTCTTCCCCCATCTCTGCTTCTTTCATTGCTTGTTTGATCTGTTTCATATCTCAGAAGAAATTGACATAAGACACACCCTACACTAATTCTGTCTCACTAACATAACAAAGACAACCCTTTCCCAAATGGTATTATAACCACAGGCATAGAGGTTAGGATTTACAACACGTATTTTAGCGGGGGACACAATTCAATTCATAACAAAAAAATTTAATAGTTAAAAGAAAAAAAAGACAACAGAGTAGTTTTATTCAACAGTGATCATGCAGTAGCATGGGTCCTTGTTATGTAAGAGGAGGAATATCATTTCACGTGTCTTCACATCTTTAAAATTTGTTTAGTAATAGAGTGATAGGCAATCTGGGACTTTATAGGAATGTATTTGATTATAATACTCTTGTAATCTGTCTTCTAGAGCCGTAAAGTAGAGAAGAACCCACAACCTTTTTAAAAGTTGAACTCACTTTTTAAGATTTCCTGTTATTATTTTTGTTATAAAGTTATGTTTTATGAATTATTCAAGTAGTAATGAGCATAGTTTGAATTATCGAAGTTAAAAAATTAAAAGTTTTGGCATTGAAAATGTGTGTTACTAATGCAAAGTTTTTTTTTTTCCTATTAGTTTGCATAGACATCTTATTGAACATTTAAATGCAGAGATAGTATTACATACCATCACGGATGTGAGCATTGCTTTGGAATGGATACGATCAACCTTGCTTTATATCAGAGCCTTGAAAAATCCATCTCATTATGGTTTGTTACCTTGACTTGGAAAAGTAGTAATTTTTTTAATCCAGTTGGGCTTATATTTATTCTAATATATTACAGAACAGATTGCAAAAACTGATAGGTAACAGAAATCCAAAGCAACAGTCACAAATACATTTAGTCACAAATATGTTTAGAGGCAAGAACAGACAAAAGTGAGAAATCTTTTTGTGCTTTATTTCTAGTCTTTCAATGATGTTTGAATTCAGTACCATTAAAAATAAAATATAATACAGACCTTTTAGAAAAAAAGTTCAACTCCAAGAAAAGCAATAAAAAGGCCTACAATTATTTAAAGTAATTTAAAGTTAACGAAAAGTCTTGAATTTTGTCTATACTTTGTGTTCAACAAGTCTTTTTCTGTGAATTTAGGACTGTTCATTTTTCAGTTTATAAGAAATCAACATATATTACTACTAGTGCTTCTGGAATTTTCATCCCATTTCTAAAGCTAACACACATCTGGTTATGTTTTTTATAGAGGATTCTATCATATGGTACAGGTTTTAAAATAAAAATACTTCGGATTGTTGAATAACAAATTAAAACCTGACTCATTGCCATACCATTCTAATGTACACAATTTAAAAACTTTCAGGTCTCCAAGGATAATATAAACTTTTATTAAAAGGTTACCTATATAAGTATCATTTTAAAATTTGTTTTTTGACTAGGTAATATATTTACTTGGTTCAGAAATCCTACAGTATAAAAATGCATGCAGTTAAAAACCTTTCATCTCTATATATCCCATCCACATAGATGCTCAGGTCCCATCTCTTCCCCTCTCCTTCCTCGTCTCTATAATCATTGGTATACCTTTTTTTAAAAAAAAATAATAATAATCCTCATATTTTTGCATATAAAAGCAAGTAAGAAAATGTAATTTTATTTTTCTACCTTTGAAAGAAATGATGACAAACTATATTAGTTTCTATAGCTGTGTACCAGATTGCCCCCAAAACTTAGTGGCTTGAAACAACAAACATTTATTATTTCACAGTTTATGAGGGACAGGCATCTGGGAGTGTCTTAGCTGGGTTATTGTGGGCCAACGTCTCTCTTGAGGTTGCAACCAAGATGTCAGCCATCTGAAGGGTTTCAGTCACCTGAAGGCTTTCTTGAAGGTGGAGGATTCTTTTCCAAGAAGGCTCACTCACAGATATATTGGTGAGAGGCCTCAGTTCCTCCCGAACTGTTGGCAGGAGGCCTCAGTTTCTTACCATGTGGACCTCTCCTTATGACATGGCAGCTAGTTTGCCTCAGCACAAGTGATCCATGACCAATAGTGACAAAGGTGGAAGCTGCAGTACCCTTTTATGACCTTGTCTCTGAAGTCACACACTGTCACTTCTGCTTTATTCTGTTTGTTGGAAGAAAGTCACTAAGTCCTGGCCATACTCAAGGGGAGAGGAATTAGACTCACCTCTTGGAGGGAAGAGTATCAAAGAATTTGTGAGCATATTTGTGAAACTATCACTGTTTTACTATTCTGCACCTTCCTTTTTTTCCTTAATATATCTTGGAAGGTTTTTTTGCATTCGTTAATAGCCAAATAGTGTTGCATTTTATCTATGTAACATGATTTATTCAAGCAATCTCCTGTTGATGGGCATTTGCGTTTTTTATATAATGCAAAAAGAAACTTCGCATTTTTCACCTGTGAGTCTGCCTGTATCAGATTCCTAGAAATGGAATTCCTGGGTCTAAACCCTTTGCCATTGAGTCCATTCCAACTTATGACGACCCCGTGTGTTACAGGGCACAACTGAGCTCCAGAGGGTTTTCTTGGCTGTAATCTTTACTGAAGCAGATCACCAGGCCTTTTTCTACAATGCCTCTAGGTGGATTTGAATCACCAATCTTTTGGTTAGCAACCAAGCCCAAACCGTTTGCGCCACCTATTGCCAAATTGCTACCTTAATGGCTTACATAGCCACCAGCAATGTTTGAGAGTGCCGTTACACCTTCTCCTCACCGATTATCTTGTTACCCAACATTTCACATTTACGACAATAGTAAAAAAATCTACTATCTGACTAGTTTGCACATTAACAATGTACCTCTGGTAGTAACGAATGCAAAGATGTGAGGTGAGAGTAACGCTGGCTGTGACGGTTAAGGTTATGTGTCAGCTTGGCTGGGCCATGATTCTCAGTGGTTTGACAATTATGTAATGATATAATTTGTCAGCTATGGAATGATGTAGTCATCCTCCATTTTGTGATCTGATACGGTCATCCTCCATTTTCACATAATGCTGATTTTGCATAACGACCTGATCTTTGGAAACTAACCATGTCGATAAGTGAGGACAGGGTGTCTCTTTCTATTTAACTTCACCTCCAGGGTGTGTACTTTTGGATTTCTATTAATATTATGTGTGAATAATTATATCTCTATATGTTTAATTTGCTTTTTTTTTTCATTGTTAGTTATATTTGTAGGTTGTTTTGTATTGAGGTATAATTTACAATAAATTACACAAATCTTATGTATAAAGCTCAATAAAGTTTTATATATGTGTGTATAGATATGTATACACACATAGCCACTGCCCAGATCAAGATGTAGAACATTTCCCAGGCAGTTCCCTCATGCCCCTTCCCTGTCAATATCCACTCCGAGAAGTAAATGCTATTCTGACTTCTGTTGCTGTAGGTTAGTTTTATCTATTCTCTTGAACTTCATATAAATGGAATCATATAGTATTTTTTATGTCTGGCTTTTTTTTATTAACATAATGTTTATGAGATTCATCCATATTTTGGAGTACATCAATAGTAGCTTGTGCGTTATTATTGTACAATATCCAGGTGTGTGAATATACCACAGTTTAATTATCCATTCACTTGTTAATGAACATATGAATCATTTCCAGTTCTGGGCTATAATGAATAAAGCTACTATGAACATTCTTCTATATAGAATATTTTTGGTGGAAATGGGCTTTCATTTCTCTCGGATATATACCTATGAGTAAAGTGGCTGTGTCATAGGGTAGGTCTATGACCTATATTTAGTTTCAGTAGATATTTCCAAATACAGTAGTTTTGTAAAGTGAACCAGTTTACACTATTAACAGCAATGTATGAGAGTTCTAGTTATTCCACATCCTTGCCAGCAGTTGGTTTAGTCAGTCTTTTAACTTCAGTCATTGTGTGTGTGTAGTTGTTTCTTATTGCAATTTCATTTTGCATTTTCCTAATGAGTACTGGCACTAAGGATGTTTTGATATGTTTATTGGCCATTTGGATGTCCTGTTTTGTGAAGAGCCTGTTCAAGTATTTTATCCATTTTGAAATTAAGTTGTTTTTTTCTTTTTATTATTAATGTATGCATTTCTTTATATAGTCTGGATAAAAGTCCTTTGTCAAGTATATGTATTCAGTTCTCTTCTCCCAGCCTATTGCTTACCTATTCACATTCTTAAGGAATCTTTTGATGAACTGAAGTTCTTAATTTTAATAATGCTACTCTGAACACTCTTGTATATGCCTGTTGGTACACATGTGCACATGTACCTGTGGGTATGTGCCAAGGGGTGAAATTATTGTGTTATTGGATATGTGTAGGTTCAACCTTAGTAAATAACAGTTCTCCAGAATGGTTGTGTTACCAAACACTTATTTATAGGAACATCCATTTTATAATGAAAGCCCATTAAAAAAATAATAATCACTTGACAGAAATTTGCTATGTGTAAAACATTAGAAATTTGTTCTACACTATTCTTGTTAAAATACAGCATTCCTGGTCACTATTATACAATAAGATAAGCAAAAAACAGTTGCATATTGAAAGAATTTTACAATAGTGGTTATTTCTTATAAGTATTTAAGCCTTGTTTGAACTCATTAAGCTATTTTTTTTTTCCTTATATGACATTTAATGAGGCTACTCTTCTCAAGTTAACTGGGGTAAGCCTATAAAGATGAATTAAATCCATTCTATTTTATTTTTATAAATTTTAATGTCTTATGCAGGTTTTTCACGTGGATTGAACAAAGATGGAATTGAAGCAAAATTACAAGGTTAGATGTGTTTCCTTCTAAAACAAAATTATGTTCTGTAAATTTTAGTGAGAAAGGTCGGTTACTTTGAAGGTAAGAATACCCTTTTGAAAATTATTTTTTAATAAATAACCTTGTTTGTAAAAAATGTGTACATAGCGAATGTATCAGTCAGGGTTCTCCAGAGAGACAGAATATATATATTCTGGATTTATTTCAAAGAATTGGCTTATACGATTGTGGGAGCTGATAAATCTGAAATCTGTAGGGCAGGCCGGCAGCAGGCTGGAAACTCTTGGGCAGAAACTGATGCTGCAGTCTTGAGGCAGAATTTTTCTTCCTGAAGGAAACCTCAGTTTTACTTTTTTTAAGGCTTTTCAGCTGATTAAATGAGGCCCACCTACATTATGGAAGGTAATCTCCTTTATTTAAAGGCTTTTCAGCTGATTCAGATGAGGCCCACCTACATTATGGAAGGTGGTCTCCTTTACTTAAAGTCAACTGATAATAGATGTTAACCAAAAATCAAATCCAAACCCATTGCCATCGAGTTGATTCCGACTCATAGCGACCCTCCCTGTAGGATTTCCAAGGCTGTGAATCTTTACAGAAGCAGACTGCCACATCTTTCTCCTGCAAAGCAGGCTGATGGAATCAAACTGCCAGCCTTCTGGTTAGCAACCAAGTGCTTTAACCACTGCACCACCAGGGCTCCTCGAAATTAACCACATCTGCAAAATACCTTCACAGCAACACCTAGATTAGTGTTTGAATAACTGGATACTATAGCCTAGCCAAGTTGACAAATAAAACTAATATTCACAATGAATTACCTCTTTCTTACACATAAAAAGTACATGTACTTTTTTCTAAATTAATCTATTTATTCATATCAGAATATCTTCCTTTTTGTAATATGTTAACTTGATTTATTTGATTTTTACTTTATAAATTATCTTGGTCTTTGAAAATGTTATTTACAGATACACAACTCTTTATTAGTTTAATTTTAATTTAAAGTATAAACCTAGGTTGATTATGGGCATCTTATCCCAATCTGTACCATGATGTATTTCTGCCAAACCCCCAGTTTATTTTTCAGTTGATCACTCGGTGTTTCATTACCTATCTTTTAAAATTGAAAATATTGTAAGAAATTTATTAGGATTAGAAATTACTGCCTCTTCATTTTATTGAGACTCCCTTTCAGTAAAAGAAAAAGGAATATTATATCCACTAAAAGTATGCAGCCAACTCTAATTTATTCTTTAATAAATGACAAAAATGCAAAAATAAGGATGAAGCAGTAAAAATATACTTTTGAAACATGGGCTAAACAATGGCATATATATACATAATGATGCTATTGAGGTACAGACCTATAAAATGTTTGTATTATCCTCTATTTTTTGCCAACTTCTGTAATGGAATTTTTCAAGTAAAATAATGTATTTATTATAATGGATCAAATACATACCAGAAATCAGAAAGTCCAAGATATATTTTCTATATTCTGACTAACTGAAGTGTTTTATCTTTTGTTAAATTAGCAGAATCACAGTTCATATTTCTCTTATTTTCAGTCCTTCTAGGTGTAGCTTAGTTTTACATGTAAAGGAGCATAGCAAAATCCATTATGTAATGGGATATAAGGTTTCAGTATTCTAAAATCCATTGTTCTTCTGTTCAATTCTGACACAAACTGCAGTACAGCTTTTCTGACCCTACCTACCTGGAGTTAGGTCAGATTTCACACATTAAGGGCACAGTCCTCCAGACTTCCAAGTCTGCCCAAGACTTCAGCACCAGCCACAAGCTCAAGGGTTCCCAGACCACTTGCACTTCTGACCAATTGGTTACAAATTTAAGGTTCACACTACTCCTTCAGGAACAAGGTCTAATCTCAAGGGTCCCCAGGACATCCATACTTCTGACCAGCTGGCTACAAATTTGGGGGTCCTTACTACCCTCTCAGGTTCAATAATTTGCTAGAATGACTCACAGGGCTTAGCGAAGTGCTATATTTATGATTATAGTTTTGTTATAAAGGATACAAATCAGAACCAGCATAAAGAAGTGTCAAAGAAGAAAATCTCATACTCTGTTAGGAGTGAAAAAAAAAGGAGTTTTATTGAGAAATAATACAGCTTAAGCTGGGCAGTGCTAAGTGAAAATACAAAGCACTTCAAGTAGAGAGAGGCTATGTACATAGAGAACAAAGAAAAGGTTTGCTCCTAAATGATTGATTATAGATAAGATGAGCTTCAGCTTGAAGTCCTTTGAAATGTAAAGGTCGGCCACTTGGCTAGGAGTGAGTGAGTTATCGCCTAGATGAGTGGTGCCAGCCAGTTCAGTTATACATGATTGCAGTTGGTAACACATTTTTCCTGGGAACAAATTGTTTACATCTTGACACATTTTTCCCATGGTTTGTATCCTAGCCTTTTGTTTCCTGGGAGTGCATCTTTGTTCTGCCATTCTAATGTCTGACATGAGTGCCCCAGTTTGAAACTTTTCTGTTTACAGAAGAGACTCATAGGGCAAGGTCTGGGAGAGTCCCAAATGTGGAACTTCTGTGTTCCCAGGGATGTGTTATCCTCCTGCTTTATTTTTGCCTATCACCAATCAGGAAGTTTACCCACACTTTGGTGTTCAGAGTTTTTATTGGGATGTCCTTACATAAGCATGATTGATTGAATTATTGGCTATGTGATTGAACTCCATCTCCAGTCCCCCTCCCTTCCTAGACGTCTGGCTGGTAACACATAGTGAGTTGTTCTGACATGGCTAGCCTCCACCATGAGTCATTCATTAGCATAAACTGTTATGTGTGTCCTCCATGAATAACAAAGACACTCCAATCCTCTGGAAATCCCAAGGGTTTAGAGGTTGTCTCCTGGGAACTGGAGACAAAAACCAAATTCTTTGGGTAAAGTAATTTTCACCCTACAGGTATCCTTGGAGGCTGCCTTAAATCTCTCAGGAAGGGTCTTCAAGATAGAGAATGCTGTTTCCTAAACTTGACCATAATTAATTGTTTAGTATCCTCCAGAAACTCCCCATGACATTTAGAATAAAGTCCAGATTTTCACCAGAGCCCACAAGTCCTGCTTGATATCTCCCTATTTCTCTGAGTTCATCTCTTACCACTCTCCCCTCTTTTATTCCACTCTAGCTAAATTGGCCTTCTTACTGTTCCTTTAATACACTAAGGTTGTTCCCACATCAGGGCCTTTGCCCTGTGTTCCTTATTCTTGGGACACTTCTCACGTATTTTACATGGCCCACACCTTCATTTTACTCAGGTCTCTGCTCAAATATTAACTCCTCAAAGAGGCTTTCCTTGACTGTATTTAAAACCACCTTTACTGAGAGGAAGGCAAAACAGTTTTTATGTTGTTGTTATTGTTGCTGTTTTTCTTGTTATTAGAAAAGTTCATTTTGAAATTTAAGGTAACTGTGTTAGTTTATGTCATAAATTATATAGCTTTTTTTCAGAAAAGCTTAAAAAAATCTACTGACATCATTCTCTAGGTCCTTTTTCAGCTTTATCTTTCTTCAGAGTACCTTTCACTACTTGAAAATATACTATTTATTATTTGTTCGTTGAAGACTTTCTTTAGTAAAATGTAAGTTCTACAGAGGAGGAATTTTGTGATGTTCACTGTGGTAATCTTAGAGCTTAGAATAATGAACAGTTGTAAACTTGGAATTGTAAGCATTATTCCTTGACTGATTAATGGAATGTCCGTTAACTTAATAATGGCTAATTAAGAAAATTAGCAAAGACTTCTGCAGCCTTACTTAATCAAGCCTTTTAAACTATCAAGCTGCCTAAGCAATGTTTGTTAAACTAAAATATCTCCCAAAGAACCTCACCTTCTAAGGGCTGCGTTTTTGTGAGCAGCTACTCTATTTAGGATTGAACAGATTATGATATTCCCACTGTCTTCCCTGAACTATCCCAAATCTCCTGGGCTTTAGCATGGAGCAGAGAGAGCAGTCACAGCAGCAGGCTACTACAGTTGCTCGGATCCCCATCAATCAGTGAGCATGAGCTTGCATTGCTTCCTGTTCAGAGATTCCTTCTAAGTAGCAAGGGTGACATATTCAGAGATGTGGAAGTAATATTAAAAGCATCAGCTAAAGTGAGACTAATGAGGTGTAGGAGTCCAGTGACAAGGGCCGGAGGGCAGAAGGGGACAAGGAAGCTGGTGGTGGGGAACACAAGGTTGAGTAAGGATATTGTTGATGTGTTGTGAGATTGTTGGCCATTGTCATAGGGCAGCATTTGTAGTAACTGTTGAATGAGAGGCTATTTTGTTCTGTAGGCCTTCGTCTTGAGTGAGAGTGGCGGCACAGTTGGAGGAGCGTAGTCAATGTCACTGAACTGTGTATGTAGAAATTTTTGAAACGGTGTGTCTTTGGCTATGTGTATTTTCACCAAAAAAAAAAAAA